TTTACTTGACATTTCGGTAGATTTGAATAATTTACAGTATCCTTCCCTTCATTCCAACAGAGCTGAAAACTTCTTTTAAAAAGTATGTGCACTACATAAAGTATAGGTAACTTGATACTGATCAGTTCTTTAACAGAAGTGTAACATGTATTGTTTCACCTCCCTATTTGCATCAATATTTTGGAAGTAATTATAACATAGTCTGTATGACAAATTACTTGAGTTCTTCCAAGGAAAGAAGTTATCTGCCTTGGGTCCAGGGCTGGGAGAAAGGTGGGATATAAAATAAATAAGTAGTGCATTATGATAGTAATGCTGGCATTTGAGTAGTCAGTAATAGCAGGCGAGAGTTGACAACAAGGAAGGTTTGTTTACGAAGTACAAGCGAGATCCCAGGTTATGAAACCATAGGGAACTAGGCAGTATAGACAGATAATACTGAGTTAGATGCAGCAGAGGTCTCATTCTTTGCTCGGTTTATTAAAGCCATTGGCCCCTGAAACTATTGGTATTTCAGTGCAATACGTTAAATATTTCTTCTCGTTTCTTTAAATAGCACAAAAGATAGAAATCCTGTTTTTGTGTCATGACTCAAAATCCGTGTGTTTTTAATTAATTCAAAAGCATGTATAATAAATGGATAGATCTGTCAGGGACCCCTTCCACACAGCTGAGTAAAATTCCACATTATCTGCTTTGAACTGGAATATATGGCAGTGTCTGCACTATTAGTGCAGCATTTTGTGTTAAAGACAGATGTTGTAAATTCAGCAACATGCCATCACAAATTCCCCTCCCTGGTACAGAAGATGTTGTGTGTCTACCTTTTGCCAGCTTTTTGACAATGTGAAGTTTAGAGATCAATAAATGAATGTTTTTAAAGATTTCTCTGAAGGTATTTATTAGTATGCTATATAAACATATTAATTTGAAAAAAAAACCTGTTTCTCCATGAAAGTATAGCATTTTATATTTACCAAAATGAAGTGTTTCTTCCTGGTTTATGTGACTCACATATATGGGTTCCCTTACGGCTGTTCTTTGAAAATCTTTAGAGCTGTATTTTGTTGTTAAACCTGTCCTCTCATTCACATGCATATAAGCTGCATATTACAGCCAAAAGCCAGTATTTTGTTGGTGTCCATGTGGTTCATTAAGACTCACGGCATTAATATATCTTATTATCTGCCATATGTACATGATGCCCATTGTACGTTGTATACATACTATGAATATTATGTGGCTCATGCAGAAGTCTGCATAGAATTCTGTTGCTCCCTATCTTTTTATTGCCTTGTCCTTGTCTTTTGAGTCTAGGTGCCCTTCAGCTACTATCTTCACACTCCATCCGCTCGTGCAAATGCTTATACACTGCCTATGTGAGTTCTAGTACTGTCTCTTTGACCAGCTGTAGACTCAGCAATTCAACCTCTTATGATATTTAAGCGAACATAGCCTTGTGCTTTTTGTTATCACTGTGCAGCCTCCTTTGTTCATCCCCCAATTTGTCCTCCACCCCAGCCTATCAGAGGAGGTGATATCAGTGAGTTTTCTGGAGTTATCAGTGGAAAAGGAGTAGGGCTGGTCGGCAGTAGAGGATCCTTCTACCTTTCTCCTTGATCTTCTTAATAGGGGACTGGAAAGCTCTGTTCCCTTTGGATGGGGTGGGCAATACTTGTAACCAGAATTTCTAAAGCCTCCAGAACAAGGAGCCTTATCCAGTTTTTAGGACGACCAATCCCCAGAATACTCTTGTGGCTGTTTTAATTTTTTTGGCCCCAGCCAAATTCAATCATAGTCGAAGTGACTAAGTCCAGGATCTACAATAACTACTCCAGCTAACAAGTGACAATATCACATTAGAGTTCTAAAGCGCAGGTCCATATTTACCTATCGCCCAATTTGCTCCTGCAAAATTCTGGGAAATGTAGTTTAGGGTAGCCAAGGACCTCTCTGGTTGAAAATTACAAGAGCTCTGTCCTAAACTATATTTTCCATAATTCTGTCGCACCAAACTGGGTGATAAGAAAATGTGCACCTGTACTTTAGAACTCTAATGTGATATCGTCCAAGGAGAAGCATAAGATTGATTTTGTGGCTCACAAGATGCTCTGTCAGAGGCTCTGTCAATTTGGATAACCAACTTACAGGTGTGCATGTAGTTCCTTTTCAGGTAGTTATAAGATAGGTGCCTTTATGCTTTCAATCAGAGATACACAAATTAACTTTCAGTAAATGGTTACGGTGAAGCACACCACAGATGGTAGTGACACTATGGCCAACACTGTAATCCTCTCTGTAGTTATGTGTAGCTCCAGTTCACTGGTTTAACCCAGGATGTGAGATCAACTATTGAAAATTTTCTCTTCAGCGAGAAGGGTTAGTTCCATACCTCCATGGATGAGAAGTTTGAACACAATTAGAAAATGTCTGCATTTCACCACCACCAGGCCTTAATGAAAAAACTTCATTGATATGCCTTTTCCTGATTTTGTGTTCTCTCTCCTTACCTTGGACATTAGAAGGGCACTCTTGTTCTACATATCTTAAGTTCCAGGAGACCTCTTGCCTTTTTTCAGCCAATGGCACACATTAAAAGGGAAGGGAGATTTTGTGTTAATGATTCTTCCATTGTGGTGAACAGTTCCCTTGAAAAGAAAAGAAACTCCTTCTGTAAGGTGTTTAAAGCTCATTCAACTTGAGAATAGCTACTTCATCAGTATATTCCAGCAGGATTCCTCTCCTGGAGCTCTCCTGGAGCTGCACCATTGACATTCTTGTCTTGTTATGGACTTGGTGCTTGGCCCCTGTCAGAAGCAGTTTTTGTGAGGGTGGTATTCTCATCAGTCATTATATCATGATCCACTGTCCTCTGTGGTCGGCTCACTATTCTTCCATATGTGTGAGTCATAGAGACTATGAAGATGAAGTAGTCTTCTACTTATTAACGGAGCATTTTTCAGTGGTTACCTGTGCACTTGCAAAATTGCCTTCCTGGCTTCTTCATGCAGTCTCTGCGCTTCAGCCACTCAGTAGTGGCCTTAGAGCTGGGCTTTGGCATTAACAGACAGCTTATATGTGTGCAAGTTTGGAGGTAAGGTTACCAACGAAACACAAGATCTCTGTGCATATATGTGAATGCACAGATGACTGTTTGAAGAAATGTTGGTTATAACCTTTAAAACCCTACATGGTTTGGGTCCTGGTTATCTACAGGATCACCTTCTCCCTTGTAATGTGCCCTGTATACTTTGGTCCTCTGGGGGATGCTTACTCCAAACAGTGAGAAGCTGACTGGCAATGATCACCCAGGGGATCTTTTCCATCAGTGACACCTATGCTGTGGAATAACCTGCCAGAAGAACTCCAACAGTGAAATGAGCTGTCAGAATTGAAAACACAAAGACTGATCACTTCCAGAGGCCTTCCCAGTCAATTTTAAACTATGAATTTAAAATTTACATTCTATTCTATTACATTTTAAACTTTGTACCATGTTTATTAATATATACATTTTATATGTTAATGTGTTTTAGTATATGCATTTTATTATATGTATTTTATTGTGATATGTTTTAACTGTGTTCTGCCCGTCCTCGAACTGTGAGGAGAGGTTGGTAACATTATTACTTTACATTATTGTTGTTGTTAGTTTCACAGCAAACTGCGCTATTGAAATCCATCATTTAGAGTTGGGATAGGTAGCCCAATACCTTTTGTGTCAAGTTGGGGAATGCTGTTTAAAAATGATAAAAAGACCAGATTTAAAGGAGCCATAACAAAATATGGCACCAAAGATTTTAGGCAACAAGCACACAAGCTATTTTCTTTTAATCCTTAAAAAATAATGATACTGTCTATTATACAATCATCTTGAATATTGCATCTGATTATATGGTTGTTTCACTTTTTGACACTTAAGAATATTGTGAACTGTTTACATTAATTTACATAGGGTATTTATATGGTGATTACATTTTTTTTGTAAATTCTCTTCTCATTTGAATTTATATAATAGATCATATTTACTTTTCCAACTTTGGTGTAACATTAAAGCCTCTATGATTTGGGTACCTGAAAGAGCTCCTCTCTCTGTATATTTGCCCACAAACTGAATTGTTCAGGAAGGTCAGTTCTTTGCTGTTTGAACTTGTTGATTTTTTGTTATGTTTTAATGTTTTTAATTGTTTTGCACAATTTGAACAATGTTTAAAATTGTTTGTGTAATTTTATTTGTGTGTCACCCTGAGATCTCATAATAAAGGGAAGGATATAAATATTTTAACATATAAATAATACATATATTTATTTCAGAGGAACAAAATGTACACAGTACAATTTTATATGTATCTACTTGGACACTGAACTTATTTCTAATAGAGCGGGTAATCCTTTTACCCCAGATATACCTTCATTGAAGATGATTTTCTGCTGTTAAATACCTTTAAAAATTAAAGACATTGTAATCTAATTACATTTTCCCTGCAACAGGAGCTGTAGCATTTACACATCTTGAAATAAAAGAAAATGCACTGGTAAGTTAAAAGCAAGTAATAATATAAGATACTGTTGCAATACTTGACTTTTAAGGGGAAAAAACAAATACAGTTAACACAGTTTGTTATTGAGCAAGTAATTATTGCCTTCTGAAAATCTTTGAAGCTTGATAACTCTTTTTTTTCTGCCTTGTGATCCTACCACCTTAGAAAGGAACATTTATGCCAGAGGTGGCTAATCCAGGTGCCCATCTACACATGCCACATAGGGGAAAGCTGATCTGCAGTGGAATACTCTTAATCAGTGACGCAACAGGTATCCAAACAGCACAGCATTGAGCCAACCTGCTCGCTGCTGGAATCTGGATGACACAGTAATACCAGACTGGGTTCAGTACTGTTGAACTGTCATGCTTAGCGTACCCCTCTTGTCCTTAGCTTAGTGGTGACTACCAGCACAAAATCACTGATGATTTTTGCTCACCGCATCTACTGATGGTGACTGGAATGCTGGGGTAACAGGGAAAGGGGAGGTAGGAAAGGAAGAATCATTCCCTCTTTCCCCTCTTCCTTCTGTGCCTTTCTCCCTGTGGGGACTCAAAGCCTTACCCTTATCCTTCCCCAAATGCCTACTGACAGAAGAAGGCCTTGACCTGCCTGCAGAAGGCCACCAGGAATGGGGCCATCCTGGTCTCTCTTGGGAGGGAGTTCCACGGTCTGGGAGCAGCCACTAAAAAAAGCCCACTCCCATGTTCCCACCAAGCGTACTTGGGACAGAGAGAGACAGAGTGGAACAGAGAGAAGGGCCTTCCCAGTAGATCATAGATGTGATGAGAGACAAATGTTGGCCATTTCACCCCTAATGGTCATCGCTAAGCCGAGGACAAGAGGTCTCCTGAGCCTGGGGAAGACAGGATGGCCATGTAAGCAACTGTGGCTAGTTCCGAATATGAACTGATCCAACTGTTCACACTGCCACAAAGTGTGGGTGACTTTTAAAGACATGAGACAAGACAATGTTAAGTGGGCTTGGCAGGTGTTATGATAGATGGGCCCTGTGTATTAACAGAGTCAATTCACCCAACATCTACCTCATTTGGCTTGTGCCGATAGGCCCTTGCTTAATAGAGAGCTTATATGAGAAAGCTTAGATGTTTGAGAACTATAAGACATGGACAAATATCACATACACATTGTTATTTTTATATGCACGTTTGTTACTAAGATGTTATAATAAATATTTAGAAATACATGTCTGTAATAATATTTATTGATGTATGTGGTTTTCAAACTGTTAATTATTAATTTCAGTGATCACAAGGTACAACTATATATACCAAATGTTTTCAAAATCCTGATTAATTAGTGTTTAACCATATTGAACATGTTTAATACAGTGACGAACTACAGATATGCAAATTTGCATATTGTTAACATTAAATGAGTTTGCCAAAATAAAAATAAAAGGTGTAAAAACAGACATTGTAATGATATTTGTTATAGTAAATATCAAGTATGCAAACCAATTAATTGTTTTAATCAGATACCCTCATACAAGATTACAGACACTTCTAAAAAAAAAATGAGTGAAAAGAAACAATCAGCTCCTGCATGTCTAATGTAACCCAACTTTGCAACAAAAAGAATAATACAAACTCCCCACTAATTTCACTAATCATGTGATTGCAAACAACATTCACTAAAATTGTGTATACCAGCTTGTACAATTAACCAATTTCCACACAGTTCTGATGTACTCCTTGCCAATCAAAAATTTGTTTATACTTCTAAAACTAGAAAAAAGTATTTTCATTTTAAATGAATTGGAATAAAAAATGAGCTCAGATAGTTAATTTTTTCTAGCCACATATTCTATGTACTTATGTCAAAGAAATGTGCATGACTCATGAGCTGCATTTTAGCTACCTCAATATCTGTTTTAACAGCTAGGTTTGAAAAAGACTAGTTTTTAAGATCAGACCAGAATGTCTTACAAATTTAAATAAATGATTACAAATTTAAAATAAATGACATAAACAGAAAATCAAGATGGAGGATAATGAATGAATAAATGTATGTATATAAAATAAAAATAAAGAACTTGGGAGTATTGATTTTCACAAGAATAAATGTAAAACAGTTATAATTTAAAAATCCAATAAACTGTTCTCAAATTTCCTACTGCTTCTCATTCTCAGAATAATCTTTGTTTATGCACTGAAAATCCTTTATTTCATGGATTTGAATCATATCAGTATTTAAAGTGCTATAAATAATCTAAAGAGGATATTAATATTGTAAACAAGTAAAACATCAGCCTAAGATATGTCTTTGCATATGAATTGGGCGAAGTTGATCTTATGTATGTTGAAGGCAGGTTTGGAGGGCAAAATTGTGGATTTTAATATGATCCTTGGATAACTCAAGGGTCACTCTGGAAAGGAGGAAGTGTAATCTGTCTCAGGCGGGCAGCTTCCCCTGACCATGGTTGCCATTGTCCTGCTGAAGCATCAAAAATGCCTTTCACTACTGTATTCAGAGGAGGGAAAGATTCCTTTTTTGATAAAAGTTAAGGTGCAGTATTAACTCTTATATTTAAAAAATGATTAATCCCTTTCTTTGAGTAGAAAGGGGAAAGGTGAGAGCTTACTACATCTCAAACCTAAAAGAGGAACTGACTCTATTTCTTGGTAATTTGAAAAGAAGTACCCAAGAGCTGCTCTTTACGCCAGCCTTTTCCAGTCCAGGCATTCAAAAAGGCTAGAAACTACATATCAGTAGAAGTTAGTGTTTTTTTTTTTTTAAAGGTTGTCTCAGGATGGATTAAGCTCTCATCTGTGACCGCTCTACTCAGGTTCCTTTTTTGAAGAGTTAAGGAACATATCTTAAATTGATTCACACATAAATTGACCCAGATTTTTTAGATAGATTTTTAACTAAAACTTCTAGATATTACTATATAGTTATTTTGTTTCTAAAATAACTTTGAAAATTGTTTTATTTCAACAGTATCAATTTGATGTACCATTTAAAGTTAAAGCAGGACATATTGGTAAGTGAAACATTTTAGATTTTTGCTACAATAATATGTTTAAACTAGTCTTTCTTTGATTTGGGTGGCTGCTGTTTTGTTTTAATTTTATTATTCCAGTTTATTCTGACAATGTTTTAACAGAACACAGAGTATAAACACAAGTTACAATGATATATCGTGGAACACCTTTGAGACTATTTATTGTATAGGGGCTGCAGTATTTAGATCTTTTTATGCTTAAACAGACTAACATAACTATGTCTTTGTGTATAAGTTATGATTATGTTATGGGTTAAACCAGGGGTCCACAAACTTTTTAAACAGAGGGCCAGGTCACAGTTCCTCAAACTGTTGGAGGGCCGGATTATAATTTGAAAAAAACATGAATGAATTCCTATGCATACCACATATCTTATTTGTAGTGCAAAAATCACTTAAAAACAATACAATAATTAAAATGAAGAACAATTTAACAAATATAAACTCAGTTCTTGTGGGTTTTTTCGGGCTATATGGCCATGTTCTAGAGGCATTTCTCCTGACGTTTCGCCTGCATCTATGGCAAGCATCCTCAGAGGTGAGGTCTGCTGGAACTGGGAAAAAAGGGGTTTATATATCTGTGGAATGACCAGAGTGAGACAAAGGGCTTTTGTAAGTTGGGCTAGGTGTGAATCTTTCAACTGACCACCTTGATTAGCATACAATGGGCTGACTGTGCCTGGAGCAAACTCTTCTTGAAAGGTGATTAGATGTCCCTCCCTGTTTTTCTCTCTGCTGTTTTATTTTAGAGATTTTTTAATACTGGTAGCCAGATTTTGTTCATTTTCATGGTTTCTTCCTTTCTGTTGAAATTGTCCACATGCTTTGTGGATTTCAATGGCTTCTCTGTGTAGTCTGACATGGTGGTTGTGATTCCGGCCATGAAAGCCTTCGACAAATATAAACTTATTAGTATCTCAATGGGAAGTATGGGCCTGCTTTTGGCTCATGAGATAGGATTGTTGTCATTGTTGTTGTGTGCTTTCAAGTCATTTCAGACTTAGGTTGACCCTGAGCGAGGGCTGGGTAAATGACCTTGGAGGGCCGCATCCGGCCCCCAGGCCTTAGTTTGAGGACCCCTGGGTTAAATCCTTGTGCTGCTGAATTGCTGACCTGAAGGTTGGCAGTTTGAATCCACGAAACGGGGTGAGCTCCTGTCTGCCAACCTCCAGCTCTTGTCAACATAGCAATTTGAAAACATACAAATGTGAGTAGATAAATAGGTACTGCTTAGGTGGGAAAAGTTAGAGAGATGCTCCAAGCAATCTTTCCGGCTGCATATCAGGAGATGACAATGCAGGCTCCTCAGCTTGAAAATGGAGAAAGCACCTCCTCAGAGCCAGAGACGAGTACCGCCTCCAGAAGCCGGAAATGAAAGATGCCTCTGCCTTTGTGTTTGTGTGTCTCATTGTATTTTATTGTAAAGGCATTGAATTTTTGCCTATGTATGTAAATGCTGTAATTCGGTCTGAGTTCACTAAGGGAGAAGTGTAGTAATAGTAGTAGTACACTTATGTCTGCACCGTTTATAGCTCTGTCCTATAATTTTTAGTATGTAATAGGAAGTTGATTTGATGTGTTCAGCCATTTTAAAATTTAACCCAATTCAACAACAGATCTTTTTTTAAAAAAATTGAGTGTAATGTAGACACAAAGCTTTCAAGGGTTACAAGTGTCATTTTTACAAGAAGCATTCCTCAAGATAGTGCTTTATTTAAATACATGCCTTCCTCAACAAATGTAGGCATTTTCTAATAATAAAGGAAACATGCAGATTTCATTTTTATGTATATAAATAGACATAAATCATTAGAACCACATGATCAGTTTAGTTTGCTATTCTACATTTGCTTATTCTCAGGTTAGTACAACTGAATACAGAAGTATTTACTTCAGATAAATTTCCACAAGATTATAATGAAAGACTTTTATAATCTGAATAATATAAACAATTACATAGTAGTTTTAGACCAGGATTTTGGATGGTCAAACTGGTTGCATAGTGGAGTATTCCTTAAGCAGTTTGTCTTCCTTATGGTTTTGTATACTACATGGATGATGATAGCAGAGGTGGGTGGGGTGGCCTTGTTCATCTACCGTACTTGTATGCCGTCATCAGTCGAAGGGCAGCCATCCAATCTGGTAAAGAGATTGGCTGTATTGAAAGATGCCTAGCTTTCATAGAGCTTTGATACCAAGGCACCATAGGAAAATATAAGATATAAAAATACCGATTGTAGTGGGATTTCCCAATAGCAGTTTCTCAAGCTATTTCTGCAATAGTATTTGGTTCTAACGATTAATTAAATCCAGCAACCAAAGAACCAGGTGTCTCTTGATTGAGCCAAGAAGTGCATTCTGAGCAATTCCATTGGGAATAATTGCAGTGGCAGTGTGCAAAAACTGGATAGAATCTTGGTCATCATATGCAGAGTGTTTTGAAAAATTACTTTTTCAACTAGCAAATTACTTATTTTTTCCTTCTTTTGACAAGTTCCATCTGAAAAGTTTGGGACAAATGTTTTTATATTAATTGATGTAATGTTTCTCTTTATTTTAGGTCAGCTGAATTTGAAGATTCCATGGACAAATCTTTACACACAGCCAGTTGAAGCTGTGCTAGATGAAATTTTTTTGCTTATTGTGCCTACAGCGAGTAAGTTAATCAGGAAATGAGTTGGGTGAAATGGTTTAATACAATTCTATGAAATAAATGTGTAAAAGAATGGTTGCAATTTTTTTATGTTATACATAGGCATTTACCTGTTTATGTCCCTTTACAGTAATTGTGGACAGAGGAATTTATTATCTCCTCCTTCAACATTTTCCACATATGCATCTTATTGCTCTTCTGGCACAGGGCTCACCTGCAGCCATTTAGCAAGCAGGGGAGGATGGTGGTGGTGCTAGCCATGCAGCAGCCTGCATGCATACCCACAAAAAAGAGGACATCACAGATTTAAATGACTGAATGGTTATGTTGTGCATCTGGCTGCAGAATGAATGTGGCTGCTGCCTGGACACCTCCTCTCTAGCCAATAAATTATTATTATTATTATTAACTTTATTTATACCCCACTAACATCTCCCGAAGGACTCGATGCAGCTTACAAAGGCCAAGGCCCTCAATAAAACAACAGCATAACAAATACAACAATAAAACTCATAAAGCAAAACAATAAACATTAAAGCAATAACAGTAAAATAGTAAATGGTCTGCGCTATGTACTGGCAGCAGAACAGTAGGTTGTGTTCATTCAAGAACTAAGGGAGGACTTAAAGCTAATCTTCATGGAGCTTGATACTCTGCTAATACAATACATATATCTAGTAGAGTTTGTGTTTGTTTTCTAAATCAAGCAAACTGTTTATATGAGATACTAGCTGTACCTGGTCACGCGTTGCTGTAGCCCAGTCTGGTTAAATGGAAAAGGAAGAAAAGAGAAAGAGCTGGTTTCTAATATATGTAATTTCTTAATACTTGTGGGTATACAATATTTCCTGTTGTTCCATTGTCTGTGAAATAATAATAATGGTGTAAATAATAATAATAATAATAGTAATAATAATAATAATAATAGTAATAGTAATAGTAGTAATAGTATTGGCCTATATAATCTATATAATAATAATACTGATGTATATAATAATGATGATAATAATAATTATGATACTGGTCAATATAATAATGATCAGTGTGTTTTGGGGACACCCTTTCCTTTGCTTCCCTCCTATCTACCTCTTCCTTCCTACCATTCAATCCTTTCCTTCTGAGCCTCCAGTCTTCCCGGAGGCGCGGGCATGAGTTGGTGCCAGGCAAGGCCAGGCAGGGTGTCCCTCCCTCCCCTGGGCCCGTGCCCCACCCCTGTCCCCAGCCTGGATTTCCCTACCTGCCGCACCACCCTTTTCTCTCCCAGTTCTGTTCTGGAAGCAGGCAGGCAGGCAAGTTCGGTGGGGGGTGACCAGACTGCGGATGCCTAATGGCGGCTCCAGCCCTGACAGGGTCGCTTTGCAATGTGTTGCTTGGATGTCTAGCAGATGGTATTGTTTTTGATGCCATGTATGTTTTTACCTGTCACAGGTGTAATATTTATGTAACAGTAGGTATGTGAATACTTAAAAACATTTGCCTGTTTGAATGCTATGTTGTGTCCAAACATCTAAGCAATCGGTGAAGTATTTTGGGAGATCTGAGGTCATTTACAAATGGACATTTACATTTTTATTTATATAGATTGCTTCAGTCAATTGTGATAACTTCATATGCATATGAGGATAATGGATAGTCATCACATTAGTAAAGAATACCCAGTGTACAGATGGTGGAAGGCAGTAGCAATGTGACATGCTGTCTACTTGTCACCCTTTAAGTCAGAGTTTTTCTATCAGGGTTCCCTGAAAACCTGTGGTTCCATGTGAGGTTACTAGGCATAATTGCTAGGCATACTAGGCAAGAAACTGTGACTGAAAAAAGCAAAGCTTTAGATAAATAATTTTAACACAGATTCCTTGAGAGGTGATTGTTTTTTTTACTGAATCCCCAGAGTTTAAGAAAGATTGTTCTAAGTAATGTATTGTCTTGAGGCAGGGTGAGCATTGCTACATTACCAGTGTTGAATAAAGATTGAGCTGGGTTGCTGTGAGTTTGAGCTTCCTGTTCAGTTTGGTTTTGTAAATGGCATGAGATGATATTCCACTTGGTTTCTCATATCAGGCAGCAAAATGTCTCGGAACATTCTGATATGCTTAGGAACCATCTGTCTCTAGAGAGGTTTGACCAAGAACTGATCTGGCCATCCATCTGGAATTGTCCATTACGAGAAATGGCTCAAGCAGTTGTGGTTAGAGCTTACATATAGCCTGTGGTTAAACAGGGAGCAGACCCCATCTCCAGCAATTGCCCAGTTCTGCTGTGTGATCTTTGCTGTTATCACCTCATGTCATTATAAGAGCAGTTTCAGATTTGGGGACTCTCTCTGTTCCTGGAGTAAGAGTGTTAAGACAGGTTTAGAACCTCTGCTCTCTATGGATGTTATTGCCCCCTGTTTTATTTTACCTAACCTAGGAAGGGAAACTTTTATCTTGATTCTCTTCTTCCTTAACTAACTTATATATGAAACATCTTTATCTATTTAGTAGAAATAAATTTCCCAGAGAAGAAGGAAAAGAGGGTTGTATACTTTCCCATCACTTTTAGAAAAAGGCAGATTATAAATTCATTTTTTGAAGAAAAAAATCCAAAGAGATGAACTCAGTTTTGTGAATTGCAAGTTTGTTTGTATTATCTCCTTCTGCAACAGTCTAATAATGATTATGATACCATGATTAGCCTTTTGCTGAATTCTCTCTATGGCTATAACCTTGATTCACATCTTCCTTCAGAAATTTTCCCGCTACTTTTTCCAGACAGTGGTTAGATATAATTAATGTTGTTGGATATATTGCTTCTGAGTTCTTTAGACTGGAAAGTTAAGTCTGCAAAATCTGGGAAGACACAGCTTTCTTTACCTATTGCTCTTACAGGAAAGTCATCTAATTAGTTGCTTTTCATGTTCCTCAGTAATTAAATTTAAATGTAAGTGGGAAAATGTTTTTTTAATTATGAGTTGTTTTCCTTGAAGGAAGAAGAACAGGATGGCTTTCAGGTTTTTTTTTTCCATTTTGTGATAATAGACTCAAATATAGAGTAGTATAAATTATAGATCTATTGTAGTAAGACACTGTCGAACTGGACTGTGAATTTGACTTAAATTGTGTTGCTTTTTAGTTTGATAGAGCTTTGTCTCAGGAAAGAAATTAATAGTACAGTTCATTAGTTGTAAGTTCACAATATGATGCATTCATAAATATTGCCAGGTATTAAATATGATGCTGAAAAAGAAGAAAAACAACAATGGGAAGCAAAACAGAGGGAACTGCAAAGAATAGAAGATGCAAAACAGAAGATTGCTGATCAAGGTTAGGAAAAACCAAATACCTATTTTATTTATGTGTGGAATTGGCCAAGACTCTATAAGTATTAAATTTATAGTGCAATTTTTATGTGTTTTTTTGAGAAGTAATAAGGCTTACCCCTCCTCGAAAAGCACACATAAAACAGATACGTTTACTCATCGAAAAACACACATAAAATTGCTTCCTCTCTAGTAAGCATGTTTGGAGCCTCAGACTACAATTCAATGTGTATAATGATAAGTAGGGAGGCTGGGGCTGCATTATATAGATACTCTTCTCAATTATTTGAGAGTTCTTGGACCTAAGCAGTACAGTACAATCCCTCCTTCCTGTTCTCTGTGATAGGTTATCCCACACAAATAGGTTATCCTATGCCTGTGCAGAGTATTTTCAGATTTGGAACTGGAAGAACAATATTTATTTATTTACTATACTTATATCCTGTCCTTATCACACCGAAGGGGGCTCAGAGCAGTTTACAAACTACAGCAAAAATTCAATGCCGCATTTTGCAGGGTGGATTGTAGGGAAGAAGGAGGCCCTGTAGGTAACCTGGACCCAAACCATGTAGGGCTTTAAAGGTCAAAACCAACACCTTGTACTTTCCCCAGAAACTAATTGGCAGCCAGTGGAGTGACTTTAGGATAGGTGTAATATGCTCACTCCTGGATGTTCCTGTAACCAATATTAACTTAATACAAAGCCCAATGTAAAGTGCATCGCAGAAGTCCTTGAAGTTACCAGTGCATGCACTACCATCTTTAGGTCCTCCAAATCTGATAAGGGGTTCAACCGGTGAATCATTCCAAGCTAGAAGTAAGCACTCCTGATCGTTGCATCTACCTGGGCTGATATTTGGAGAGACAGATCCAGGAGCAGTCCCAGGCTGCGACCACAGTCTTTCAGGGGGAGTGTAACCCTGTCAAGAACTGGTTGACACATCTCCATCCCCATTAGGACCCTTGATGGCAAGCACCTTTGATTCACTTTCAATTTGTTTTTCCTCACCTATCCCATTACTACCTCCAGGCATTCATTCAAAGGAGACACAATATCCTTAGTTGAAGCTGTTTTTGAAGGCATAAAGAAATACATTTGGGTGTCATCAGCATAGTAATAACACCTCACCCTATGCCTATCTCTCTCTGTGGCTTCATGTAAATATTAAAGAGCATTGGGGATAGAATGGCACCTTAGGGGATACCACGTAACAGCTCCTTAAACTTAACATTTCAGTGGAAGACCCTTGGGGCTATCCACATAACAGTTCCTTTTTTGAGGAGCAGTTATCCTTAAGCACCATCATCTGGAATCTGCCTGAGAGGTATGACTGGAACCACTGCAGCACAGTGCCTCCAATTCCCAGTCCCTCCAGGCATTCCAGAAGGATACCATAGTCAATGATATAGAAAGCCATTGAGAGGTCTAGAAGTACCAACAGGGACTATCAGTGTTAAAATGGAGATCATGAACCACAATAGTTCATGAGCACCTGGAGCTGAGCAGCCATCACTGCCATCACTTCCGGTTATAGCTATTCATTAGTTCACTGTGATTTAATTTTTAGTGTTCAGATCCTGTGATTTTGGTTAAGCAATATTTTTTTTATATTCATGGCACTTTCATTTCCTTGAGATAAATGTGAAGTGGTTTGGCCAAATCTTTGCTAAAGCTCTTAAGAGATGCGATTTAATATGAATTCAGGTAGGTTGGTTTCCCACTTGGAGAATTATTTAGGTAACCACAAGATGTCAGTTAAACTTGTAATACTAATAAGGTGCCTGTCAATTTGATGAATATGTATTCTCTTTCTGCACTCACTCACTGTTTGGTGTTTATTTTTGGTGTGATACTACTAGGCTAGATGGATGCAGATGAAACCAGTATTTTGTTGATCATCTCAGTAGCATGACTCTGTCTAAAGTTTGAGTATTGGAATACTGGCAGACAAAAATTCCCCTAAGCCACACATAGAAATGAGAAGGAGTAGATAGTCCTTATATTTTTATTGATGCAGAAGCAGCACGGCACCTTTGCCAGGTTTGGACTCTTCTGCGTGAAGTGCACTCAAGATGGGGAAAATATACTTACTTCTTTTCAGTAGGGCAGGGAGCTAGATAGTCCATGTTCAACTATGCTATATTTATTTTCATGAACAGTTTTGAACACATCCATATTGTTTTACCTGTTGTAAACTGGAATTGCTTTAAGCACTGTGTTCTAAATTATTGCTTCTTAAACTATGGTCCTTATTACAAATGGGATCGCGTAAAAAAAAGGAGTTGTGACAAATTTGGTTACAGTAAAAGGTTTGTGAGTGCCACCAAGTGGCTGTTTAGAGAATGCGCAAATCTGTTAGCAACTATGTGCAGTGTTTACAGCAGACTCTGCTGGAAAAGCTTCAGCTGTACTTCATAAAAAGGAAAGTCACCCTAGCAAATCTTGTAGAAGTTGATTGATTATCAGTAAATGCTTGATTTTTATACCTATTTCTATACCTATACCTCTAGTCATAACAATTTCTCAGATAAAAAGGGTCCCAATTTGAATAATTTAAGAAGCGCTGTTTAAAACATACAGTATGATTAACACACCTGATTAAGTGCCTGCACATTATTATATATTCTCATGTACAAGTCTAGAAATTTTGATCAAAAAATCAACCCTCCTAAAATTGGGCTGACTTATCCCCAGGTTTATGGAAATACTGTACCTTAAMCCTCTGAATAGAGTGGCGAAAGGTAAAAGCTTAGTCCATCTGGAGAGAACCTAATAGAGGCAGCCCCCCCCCCCCCCCCACACACACACTCTCTCACTCTCTCCAGCACTGAACCAGGTTTTGCTTTTTTGAATGCATGTGTGGGGGAATAGCAATTTTGGCAGCCAGGGATGGCTGGACCCCTGAGGCGGCATTGGCATTTTCCTCTCTCAGCAAAATGAGATACCTATTCACAGATCATATAACACCCATAATTTTGTCCCTAAAACCTACCCTTGCGTTATACATGAAGTCAACGTATATACAAGCATATATAGTATTTGTTCTGGGTCTGATTAAAATATATAGAATTAAAATACTTGCTCTATACTTTCTTAACTAGCCCTTGCCAGTTGTCTCTGCCGAATAATGCTAGACATTCATTCTATTTAATTTAGATAATCCACAAGAGGAGAAGCAAGATACTTTCATAGAAAAGCTAATCACTCAGGTCATCAGAAATCTTCAGTTGACAATTTCCAACGTCCATATTCGATATGAGGATGATGTAAGTATTTGTGAATGGAGGCTCTGTATAAATAGTTATACGTGTTGTCGGTACAAATTATTTCTGTTCTCTGATGTCCTACGTTATGAGGGAATTGTTTGCTGCAGTATTGAAACTGAGTGTGTGTGCCTCTTTCATAATTGCTTTTTGGCTCTCTCAGAGGAAGTGTTGTAGATGTTATAATTTGATGAAGTTGTGAGCTGATTTTTAAAACAACTTGGTCTTAGGCTTTGTTGTTCTTCCTCTAGGTCAAATTTAAGAATATTTTTTTTCTACTATATAACATATTCATATCAAAATTGATTTAAGTTTCTGTCATCATAATTTGAAAGAACATACATGCAAAGGAGGAATAATTGATGGTAGAGTTATTAAAAGGATATAAGCTTTGTTTTGGTATGAACTGTGCAGTTAATTTTGATTAAGGATTGGTTGGTCTTTACTTGCTGATATAAGGATCATTTTTACTTGCTGATATTATCCAGCAAAACAAAAGTAAAATCCCAGCCTAGTGAGAAGTGTCAGCATTTTTTTCTCTTGGCTCTCTGTTTACAAATTCTAGCTATTTTTTTTGGTGAGGAATGAGGAACTGAGATCAAAAGATGAGATCAAGCTGATTTTTCAACTTTTACTTTTTTATAATTCCTAGAGCTGTACATAAGTAATTTAATAGGACTAAAACTTCAGATACCATAATTTCCTAATGCTCACTGTTATAAACAAAATCCTCAAAATGAAAGAAAAACTACATAAAGTCTGATTGATCTTCACATTAACTGAATCACGTCATTTTACCTTGCCTTGAAAGACTTACAGAATTTCTCATTATACACACACACATATACACATGGCCATCAACATCTGATTATTTATTAATAGGTAAGTGATCTTCCCTAATGCTTAAAAACATTCTCAAATTTTATAAATTATCTGTGTTTATAGTGAATATTTTTGGTTTCTGTTTTTTTTTTTCAGATCACAAATAAAGATCTTCCATTGTCATTTGGTGTTTCACTTCAGAATCTTAGTTTACAGGTAATTTTACATTACCATTTTTTAGTTTTAAGTTTAGCTTAAGACAAAAATCAATTTTACTGGTTATTTGTGAAATTGTATTGCTACATTTGTAGCCTGTCACATTTGTAGCCAGCTCAGGCATAGGTAATAGTTATTTGTGTATTGAAAAAACATTTTTTTATATTTGTTTTTTTCCTGAGTAAAAATCATGTTAAAGAAAAAAGTAGGAAAAAAAAGAGAATAAACTAAATTGAGTAATAAGACACTATATAGGCTTAAACTTTTAGAAAATGGGAACCAAATATCTAAATAAGTGTCGGTGTAGAGTTGCCATTTATGTGTAATATATTGAAATTGTAAATGTTTTGTGAAGTTCTCAGTTAATTACAGGATGGGTAGGGATCTTTTTCCATGTTTATTTCTTTTTCCAGTACAGAAGTAAAATCTTTTGTCTATTTGATTATTCTGTTCATTCCTAAAACTTGTTGCATTCATTCACTGATCATCCAACCATAGAAACTGAAAAAAACCAATCTTTTATAAACAAAAATGGGGGACGGGGGGAATACAGCAATTATTATTCTGAATCAGATGGCTGGCTCAGATTATGAATTCACAAATGTTACTTGAAAATTACATGGCATTTTGAACACATGTTGGTTCTCTAGATGTGGTCTGGTAACTTTAAGTGCTTCAGATGCACCTAAAGAAATGGACTGCGATCCATGAAAGCATATTAAATAAATAATTAAATCTCAGAGGGACTCATTGCATCTTTCACCCTCCTTTTTGCTATTTTATGCTGAAATAGATAAACATAGCTATTTTGAGAATTATCTGGTAGTTATTTCATAAGAACTTGCTGTTTCTCTTCTAGACTTCAGATGAAAATTGGAATCCATGTATACAAGATGCAACAACTAAATTGTTCCATAAGGTAAAATGGGATTCCTGGTAGTATAAGAATCTCCTTAAATTGCCATGCTACATTATAGACACTAAGAATAATGTTTTTTGGTCCATCAGAGATTGCCTAATTGCACTGTTTGGACCCTATTCATGGAGACAGGCAGTGTGCAACTATATCAAACTAAAAAAATACAGTTAGTGTTGAGGTAATGACATATTTTCATGAACATATTTGAGTTTTGATGGGAACAATAAATACCATTTTCTTATTCTGATGAGAGTTCTAATTCCATAAACTTTCCTTCTGAGATTCTTATTAGCCAAATGTTCCCTCCTTCCTAATATAGCTTGTTCAGCTCATTGTTGTCATTAAGAGGGAAAATTAGCATGGAACTGAAAAGAGAAATAGAAGTAAATGCCTCTAGGACATGGCCATATAGCCCGGAAAAACGTACAACAACCCACAAATAGAAGTGAGTTACCTGGTTCTTTCTCTCCATGCAGTGGGTGTCCTCTTTGAAATTGTCAACACTGGGTCTATACTCTTATCTTGGGGAAGAAGTTACTTCTGGATGTTCATATGACATCCAGGGATTTCCAGTCCACAACGTGGGGTAAAGCTAGTTAACACATTTTGACTCCTCGGTATGAAGGGCACATCTACACTGACCATATAATGTGCATTTAAGGCATTTCAAAGATGCTGTGTTAAAATGATGCACGATGCGAACAAGTACAGGAACATGAATTAGAGGCCTTAAATTGGAATAAGCAAAATTTGGGGTTGCTCTGAAATAGGGCCATAATGCACATCGGATTCCAGTGCTTTACATGTGATCAGGTACCTTCGCTTTACTTCTGACTCTGCCTTTTTCATCCCACATTACATGGTCAGTGTAGATGTGCTAGAGAAGTAGTTGAAACTCTGGAATAGGTCTGCACTCCAAGGTTAGTATGTATAGCTGGATTAGTTGTAAAACCAAGTGTTTAACTACAGTTAAGCCTTTAGTTAATTCTGGCTATACATTTTGATTTCAGCTTGTTCGATTGGATAACTTCTTTGCGTACTGGAATGTGAAGTCTGAAATGTTTCATCACAATAGTTATAAAGAATCTTTGGTAAGTGTCATATCTAATTCATCACATTTAATGTTAAAAATAGTTGTGAAGTATAATTTCCTCAATTGAGAGTGCCTTCTAATGATTTTATTAGCCGTGATGTCTGCGTTTTAAACTATTCCCTCTGCTGTATTAAATTTATAGTTCTGTTTTAGGTAACTTGGTGTTAAGCCCTATTAAACCCAATTAAAGCATCTAAAACATAAACTTTTTTTGCATACTGTGGCTGCATACCATCTTTCATAATATATATTTCAGGGCAATAGAGGATCATGAGTAAATATATTTATATACAGTAATATGAACAGATATAAAGTATGTTAGAGCTCTTGTGCTTTGAATATAGGATAGGCTGTATGTACCCTTTTCTCAGTTTTTTTCTTTTTTGCATTCTGCACTGCATATGATGATGTGTTTCTAGTGCCTAAGTAAAGTCACATTTTCCATTAAGATGTGGAGGAGTACCATTCTTACTGTAAAAGAGAATTGTGCTCATGGAAGCTTGCCAGAAGTGAGATTGTCCTTTAAAAGAAGATGTGTACTCTTAGTATCAGAATGGACGAGGTGCAGTCCATCACAGTCCTCTTGCATGCTGTTCCTGGGTGGCAGAAGACTACATTATTTTTCAATTGCTGCTGTTGGTTCTCTTCACCTTTACTCTCATTTTAATTCTTTTGCCTTAGAAACCCAACAGGAATTCAGAAAATAAGAGTCAGTAGAGAGATAAAATAGTAATAACTTTATTTAAATTTGTATAGTAGCTGAACAGATAATTGAGGGACAAAAAAACCAGCACAGACAGCCTCCAAGATGACTGATGTCCAGTGTACCTCTCTGGGAGGAAAGAAAGAGGGCTTTATAAAAGTTATTTATGTCCTCAAATGAAAGTGAAGCTGAGGAAATTAAATTGCTGGCTAGTTCTAGATACAGAGAGGATAAAAAGAAAAAGGCTTGTAACATAGAAATAAAGAAAAAGAACACAAATAAGGTAAGAGACAGGAGTTGGAGGAAAATGAGACAATAAGGTCTAAAAAGCCTCAGGAGGTGAAATTGAACATTCTCTGTATATCCAGGGATGATTCTCCCTGATACTGATAGGGGGCTTTCTCTGCTGTTAGATTCACTGTATCATCTTGATTCCATACAGTTGGACCTCAGTATCCATGGATTCTATATCCATGGATTCAATTATCTATAGCTTGAAAATACTTTAAAAATCTCAAAAGCAAAGCTTGATTTTGCCATTTTATATAAGGGGTGCTATTTTACTATGCTACTGAATATTATTGGACTTGAGCATCCATAGATTTTGATATGCACCATTGATCTTGAAACCAAACCTCAGTGGATATGTATATTAGTCTACATTAGGCAATATTTGACACATAGCCAAGAGACCCATACACTTTCGTAGCTCATTAGCTTTTAGGATTCCTAATCAACACCAAAAACATTCAGTGTACTTTGGGAAACTCTCATAATTTTGGTTTGGTTAGCCTTGTAAACATTGTGCAAGCCCATTCTCTCTGTATTTTGCTTCTGCTTGCTTCTGAAACATTCTGGTAGCCTCCTGAAAATGATGTTTAATTGGAAGCACTATTTTGAAATGCATGTCCCTTGTTTATAAAGCTAGTAATGTTTCAGGTGGGCTTCAGAAAACACTATTATTTTGGAAAGCAAGGGATTTTTTGCTGTCATTACAAGCTCAACACCAGAATCAGGTATCTTTAGGAGGTCACAAAAGCTAGTTCTTCTGTCAATGGGGAATGTTATTAAAAGTAAATACATACCTAGGAAACGTTCCACTATCACAGCCGAATTGTGATGGATATTTGCATGCATACTTAATTTTTATAGCTAGTTTAGCACAGTGGTTCTCAACCTATGGGTCCCTAGGTGTCTTGGCCCACATACTCCCAGAAATCCCAGCCAGGTTACCAGCTGTTAGGATTCCTGGGAGTTGAAGGCCAAAATATCTGGGGACCCACAGGTTGAGAATCACTGGTTTAGCACAAGCCTGCAATTACAAAGTGTTGAAACTTACATAGTGCACTGTTTCAGATTTCTTTATTTTAATTGGATGTTGGCCAGTTGAAAAGAATTGCTTAACATTCTTTTTCTTCAATGTATTACTCATTATTGTTACTGTTATGAAAATGTTAAAATTCATTTTTATTTCACTCTCCTTAGAATGATTTAAAATTTGGAATTGCAAGCAATGGTATTATTCCAGATGGCTACAGTTTTGGTAAGTTCTTCATTTTTTTTTATTATAAGGCTGTTACCTAGATCTAGTTTTGACCATGGGAGGATAAAAATTATTCTGATGATACTTTGAAAAGGTAGGCTGTTAGTTTTATGTCCAGCAGTTGTTTGGCCTGGTTTGCTTGCTGCTGGGGGCAGGTCTCCAGCTGAGAACTCTTTCAGTATTTGGAACAAGCTTGGAAGGGGTTAATCTGACCTCCTCCTCAAGGAAAGCATCACAAGCTTCTGTGATTATCTGTACAGGCTTGCTGAAATGAGCAGCAGATGAGATCTCATGATAAAAGTAATCTGAAAAAGAATAGCTTTTTGGTAGCAGATAACATCATACCATTGTACCTTTGTCCTGGATCTTGGCTCTGTTGGCCTGGGTAAGAATTCTGGACTCTTGATCTTTGTTCTTGTTATCCTGTTCTGCACCCTGTTGTATCCTGAATACTTGACTCTGATTTCTGGACTGACTTCCTGGCTTTCTTTATGAACTTGGACTTCAGTTTGTATCCTTAACTATCTGGCTTGACTTCAGAATTCTGATTTCAGTTTGTTCTCTTGGATATTTGGTCTTGTTTATGAACTCTGATAAGTGAAGGATTAGCATCTGACTATTGGACTGTAATCTTGGCTACTGTTTGTCCTTGTTCCTGGCCTAACACTGTAGTACTGGCTTGTCAGCATTAATTGTACTGTTGACCTTGGCTTGTGTTCATCCTTACTTTGGGTGTGTGCTATAAATCTGTTTTGTTAGCCAGACCTTGAAAGACTCAAGACTTTTTGTTTTCTTTATAAGTAAATATGGACTTGGTTTACCTTGCTTTTGTTACAGCTCAACCCTGATATCGCGAGACCCCCGGAACACAAAAATTAGGCACAATTTGATCTTATCTACATGAGCCAAATTAGCTGCTGCAGAGTTAAATGCATTCCACAGCATTCACGGTGTGCGGGTTCATTGCCTAAATGTGGGAGAAGATCTCTTAACATGACCTAGTCCTGCATTACAAAAAATAATGGGATACTCTGAAACTTTCCTGAAGTGCTCTAATTTTCCTCTCAGCCCAAGTCGCTTGCAGGCTGAGAGGGCAATATACAAATATAGCAAATAAATAAATAAATAAATTGAGCTATCTTCTCAAAGTTCAGCTTCATTCAGTATGAAATCAACATAGAAGGCCTCCATGTTTAAAGCCTCCTCTGTTCTGGTTTCAGCCTTGACCTGTTCTGCAGTGAGATTGCTTCAATCTATACTGAGATAATCTACATTGTCCACCCTTCCAAAATCTCAGCTTTTGCTAAGCTCTTACTGCTTTCTCTATCCACAGAAGAGTCTCTTCTTGGTCTGATTCTGGTCAAATGCTGAGGTTGGCCCAATCATTTAATTTGCAAGTGCGTGAGTCAGAGACACAGAGTGATGACCCAATCTTTAATCATGTACTTAGCAAAGTGACCATCCCTACAGCATTACCTGTACTGCCCTATCCCCTCGGTTCAGAGCTGAAGTTATTTGGATTGGGCAACATCCCAAGTCAAATCCAATAATTATGAACACTGCTCAATTAAATTTGTCCAAAAAACTGCACTTCGCACACCAGCAGATAAAGAAAGCATGAAATTTGATGGGCAAAACATTTTACTCATTTGCTATCCTCATCTTTAAGTGCTCCATCTACCTAGCATGCATTGACATTGTTCATGCATTGTTCTTTAGTAACAGTTCTGTGAGAAACTTGACTCCTTTCTTTGCTAAATTGACTCTTAAGGTCAGGCCTCTCAAAACCCCACCCATATTCAAAGTTCAGCATGTTGGGCATGCGTGCTAAGTTTGGTCCACATCCATTGTAACTTGAGTTCACAGTGTTCTTTGATTTCTGGTGAATTAAAACTCCCTAAATTCAAGGACAGTTCCCTCCAAACCCTACCAGCATTCAAAGTTGGCCATATTGAGTCTGTGTGCCACATTTCGTCCAGATCCATTGTTGGTTGGGCTCACAGTGCTCTTGGGGTGCAGGTGAACTATATCTCCCAGAATTCAAGGTCAATTTCCCCCAAACCCTACCTGCATATACAGTTGGTCACATTGGGTATAGATGCCAATTTTGGTCCAGATCCATCATCAGCTGGGTTCATAGTGCTTTCTGGATGCTGGTGAGCCGTAACTTCTGGAATCTAAGGTCAATTCCCCTCTATCCCTACTGGTATTCAAAGTTGGCAATGCTGGGTATATGTGCCAAGTTTAATCAAGATCTGTTGTCGGTTGGGTTTCCAGTGTTCTTTGATTGTGGGTGAACTACAGTTTCCAAATATGGGTGGGGTTTTGAGAGGCCTGACCTCCCCCCCCCCAACCCACCAGCATTCAAAGTTGGTCATGTTGGGTCTGTGTGGCAGGTTTGGTCGAGATCCATTGTCAATTCAGGTCACAGTGCTCTCTGAATGTAGATGAACTTCAACTCTCAGAATTCAATGTCAACCCTCTCTCCCAACTGCACCAGTATTCAAAGTTGTCCATGTAGAGAGAGTGTGCTAAGTTTGGCCCATATCCATTGTCAGCTGGGAACAGATTGGTCTCTGGATGTTGGTGAACTATAACTGTGGGCCAGGTTTGGTCCAGATCTGTTGTTGGCAGGAGTTACAGTTCTCCCTGAATGTTGGGGTCATCTTGGAAAGTACATTCATACACACAAACATACAAACAAATACTGACTTTTATTATATAGATCAGTGGTGTCAACCTGTGGGTCCCCAGATGTTTTGGCCTTCAACTCCCAGAAAACCTAACAGCTGGTAAACTGGCTGGGATTTCTGGGAGTTGTAGACCAAAATACCTGGGGATCCACAGGTTGAGAACCACTGATATAGATAGATAGATATCGATATAGATTATTTTTTTCTCTGCTCTATTCTAAATTCTTGTTTTTAGTTTTCCGGCCCATTTCAACTAAAGCAAAGCTCCGTATGAATCCTCGATCTGATGTTGACTTTTCTTCACCAAAGCTAGATCTAGATGTAAATCTTCAGGATATAGCCATGGAACTTGACAAGCCACAGGTAACTTTCTGTAATTATTTTAAATGTACAGAACAACTAATACTCAAGCATCTTTTCCCTGTTGCCAGAATATAAGGCAGCTGAAAATTATAGGATTCAAATTGTGTAGAGCAGTCTCTTTATTCAAGGGATCTACATTCCCAAATTCAAGCAACAATGGCATGAAAATATTCAGTTAAAAATCTAAAAGGCAATTCTTGATTTTTCCACATGCTAACCATCTACCCTGTTGTAACTTTCTACCATTTCACAAATCCTCGGGTCTTTCTGGCATTCCTTTGAGTTTTTGCCATTTTGTATAAGGGACTACAATTTGCTATGTAAGTGTATATAAAGAAACTTGAACATCCCTAGATTTTGGTATCCACGTGGGTGGGAGGAGTGGGGTGGTCCTGGAATCAAAGTTCAGCTGACAGACTGCATACTACTGAAATCATAAATATAAGTTTAAGTCATCCTATGCATCTTTTTGACATCAAACTTATCTTGTCTATCCTAGCTATGTTTATAAGTTCTTGCTTTTATCCTTAGCATTTAGCAGCACTAGATTTGTTTCCTCATACACATACATTGCTAATGTTGGGAAGGACATGCTTGCATGCTACTCAAGCTCCAATAAGTAAAGGTCTTCTCACAGCCAGTCAGGGAGGATGTAATGATATTAACTTTCCTAAATTAGCATGTCCATCCTGTTCACATACTTTAGGCATCACCTAATTACCAAAAATATAGTTGAATAGTAATGAAAAAGATACAATGCCAGTGCTATTCCTGTTTCAAATTTCTCTCACTTGTCACATGTGCAGATATTACATAAAAGTTTAATTTGTTTGGTTCTTATGGCATAATTTTTATTTCTGTTTAACTGTATCTCATTTTTGTTGTTGTATAAGTTACTTTGTATTCATTATATGCATTTTTTCCAATTTTCAGTATTTTAGTATAATGGAGCTCCTTGAGTCCATTGATATGATGACCCGAAACTTACCATACAGGAAGTTTAGACCAGATGTTCCTGTTCACGGCCATGCCAAGGAATGGTAACCCACCTAATTATTTTTGAAGACATATTTCTAGCAGAATCTCTATAAAAATTGTTATGTATAATTTTTTCTAGCATTCACTTTATATACTTGCCTCATATACAGCAACAATTTGAACCTTTTGAAGTGTTCATTGCCTTGTTTATATAGATGTATAACTATATCCTTCTAAAACACAGGTAAGGAAAAGGTGCTCATCCTGGTCGTTTTCAGGTCCTGTCAATATTGATCAACTATTTGTAAATAAGGCTTACTATAAAGGTGTGGAAAGGCTCCCAGATGGACAGGTATTTCCAAAGTTTGGAGAGAATGTTAGCAGCCTTTTAAATGAAATTGAACAGAAATTATGACAGTTATGGGCAACACGTGACAGTTGGCTACTGCCTTCTAAGACATTTCTGTGCAAGTTACTTTATTATTTACTGTAGCATTCAAGAGTGCTTGGGACATTGTCTTCATATTCACATTGAGTGCTTCTTTGTTGCAGCCAGCAAAAGGTATTGGAGTAAAAGAAAGTTTGTTGATTTTTTTTTCAGAGAAAAACTTGTTCTTGTAACACATGATTCCTTACAAAACCAGTGTGACATCAAAATGATTGAGGAGCAATGAATATTAAGATGGAAATTCTCTGATTAAAACCTAATAATCTAAAACATAGGAAGATAACCAGTGTTACATGTGTTTCGGGGAAGGGGGGGGGATTCTGTCATCTTTATTATAAAATATTACACTTTTAATCCTTTGGGGGAAAGTCCAGAACATGAAATTTCACCTAAGGTAAATTTTCTAATAAGTATTTTAAGGGGAATCTCCTATAGACTTTTCAAGTACTTCTTGCATTTTTAATTTCTCCTCTACTAGGTGGTTCTATATTGTAAATGGCCTTATTGAAGTCAATGTCCAACCCAAACTACAGATGTGGTCTTGGGAACATATTCGTTACCACAGGAATCAAGTGAGGAGCTATAAGGACCTATATAAAACAAAAATAACATCAAAGAAGCCTGTTGAAATCAATTTGATTATGCTAGAGGTTTGTGATTTCAAATTACTGTGTGTATGTTAACGTTTATCATAAATAATATTTTCTCAGATAATATTTTAATATTAGTCTCATGCTGAAGAATTTTGTCAGATGTGGATGAATAAAACCATGGATTTATAGTCATGCCATTGAGTATTAAGTCTAAACCAGGCTTTAAATTGCTTACTTTGTTTAGAGCTGGATAAAAGGTTTTCCTGCTCACATTCTTCTAAACTGCTTTTCCTACTCTTAACAGTTAGGATGGAGTGCTTTGTGATGAAAACATAAATGAGACAAGTTGAATCTCAGCAGAGAATTACCATATAAACCCCATGAAAAAGTTTTTGTTAAAATTTTAAATCCAATAGCCTAGGCCAACATATGTGGGTCACTGGAAGTACTATCTTCTTTACAGCACCACTTCTGGCCCTTTTGAATGACTTAGCCCAGTGGGTGTCACTAGTAGCATGCAGTCTGTGTGTGCAGAGGGGACAAAACCAAAATGATGGCCACTGCTGTATCTTCCAGAATGATCCAGCCTGCATGGGACATAAGTCCCATGGATCATCTCCTGTGCCACAATCCCTCATTCTGGGGCTACTCAGAATGAGGAAAGTTAGTTCTCCATTAAAGCTATATTTACTACATTGAGCCACCTAGCTGGTTGGGTGACTAGAAAGGGAAAGAGATAGTGAATGGGTGAAGCTGCTTCTACACAACTACATAATCTAGATCAGAATGTGGATTAAAGAAATCYAGTTCCACKCTGGGGAGTCTCCACATGGCCCAYGGGAACCATGAAAAAGCTCCTGCAACACAAATACMCCCCCCCCCCCCCGGTGCCAAATCAACCAACAGAACAACTTTTTTTCTTATGATGTTTGGAGAAATGCACTTAACTGCAGCAACCCACCTTACRAGAATTGAGTTCATCTTTCTGCTCAAAAATAAAAAAGGAGAAAGCAATTTCTTCTTGGGGAGGGAGGGAAAAGATGTTTGTTTACCTTCCTGAGAGCGTCATGTCTGGTTCCTGTACCTGAATTTTCCAGTTTACACAAGTGCTGCGTATGTTCCAAATTTCTGCTCTGCAGCATCCATACAGTAATCATATGGAGTACATTGTATCACTGATATTGGACTCTTCTGACTTTTTAACACATATTTTCCATGTGGAAGTGCATTGCAGCACACCTTAGGGGTGTGCATTTTATAGCCTCCCCTTATAATCCACATAATTATGGATTTTACAGGATGTATAGATGGGGTCTAAGGAAAGGGAACAACAGATAGGCTTACCATCCTGCAGTGTTTGGAGCTCCTTTTCTCGTCCACTTTGAAGTTTCCTCTTTTTGTTCCCCCTTTACTGCCTCCCTCGTGGCTCTTTAGTCCTTCCTTTCCTACATCCCTGGGCTTACCACTCTCTTCTACATTCTCATGTGTCTCCTTCTCTGGCAATTTGTACAATATTTATTTATATTCTGCTTTTATCCCTAAACGGGACCCAAAGTGGCTTACAACATTATATACAAGACCATACAAAACAATATGCATATGTAAAACAACCTATAAAAACAAATTTACAACAATAAATAAATAAACAACAACAAATAAATAAATAAATAAATAGACAAAGCACGTTTGAATCCTTGCTGAACCATCACTTCATCCTTTGTGTCTCCCCTCCTTGCCAGCCACAGAATTCCATGTGAGCATCTGGCTCATCATCTGTCACATATCTGATGACATAACAGGGGCCTTGTGACCTGCAAGGAGGGGATGGCTTGATGCCCTTCTTCTTGCAGGCCACTGGGACACTGGTTCTGGCATTGCAAATGTGTCTGTGATTACCAGGCCATCATACAGTGCTCTGTGGCCAGTAGGGAGCAACAATGATGACAAGGGGACAAGATATTCCCCTTCCTATGCCTTGCATATAAAGTTTCAGGATATAGGGAAAGAAAAACAAATATTTCTCTTCCACAATACACTGACATCATTACAGATGTGAGCCCTTTATAACACTATCTCCCATTCTCTAAGCAAGACTGCCGAGTATATGACCCAGACTAGCTAACCCCTGAATGCTTGCATATTTGTTACAGTTATAGCTGTTTCTTGTGGGCCATCATTTCTAAGCAGTGAAATTTTTATCTTCTCTTTTATAGGATCTGGAGAAGACATTGGATATATTCAGCATTACTCTGGCAAGGCAACAGGCAGAATTTGAGGTAAGTATTGATAGTAAACTCTGTTGTAAAGGATTTGTTCTTTGAGAAATTATTGAGTTATTGTAGTTCAACAACAGGTTGATTTGAACTTTAACAACTGGCCTTGGAGGGAGAAAAGAAGGAACAGTATCTGCTGGACTTAATCCTGAGACACACTGCCATCCTTTTTTACTTGTTCTTTTAATTGTAAAGTTTGATGTACAGTGATGGTGTTATATAAATAACTGATTGTTACCAGTATTATTTTTATCATCACTATCATCATTAACAACAAAATCTTATGTACTATCCTAGTTTACATAAGGAAATATAGAAAATGATTTACAACAATAAACTTTAATTCAAACTTCAATGGAATTAAGGGTTTTTTTTGAACGTGTAAAAAAGTTGCGCTCTTCAGATATTAATGCCCATAGTTCTTTAGTCCTGGCACTTCCTTTTGGATTCATTTATATTCAATATTACAACTGCAATATTAGTATTATATTTAAATATTTCATTCTGTTTTTAAAGTATGTGTTGCCAAGGTAGCAGTCCAAAAAATAGATAGGCGGTAAAGCTGCATTTTAATGATATTGTCCATTTAGAGCATGCAGCTTCTGCTGCAGTTCTCTGCACGTTTTTCTTGTTTTTGACATGCTTGCTATTTTGTTTAAGATATTTGATGTTAATTATTTAACAAGTATTATTGCTGTTTTGCTTAATAGGCAACTAAAGCTGGACTAAAGATTTACAGACTAGGAGCTAAACAGGACAATGAAGAGTCTCAAGGCTGGTTTGGTTGGATGTGGGACTGGGTTGGAAAGAAGAGCCCTGAACGTGTACAAGAACCAAAAGGTATATCTATGATTATTTAGAATTAGGAATACTTTGGGTTTTTTTAAACACATTAAAGTATTTTTTTACCTCTTACCAAAAGAGATGTTTTGGACTCTCCTCAGTCTATTGTTAGCACTATCTCAGTATATGTGACTCCATTTCTTCTGTGTAGTTCTCTGCCAACCCAGGCATCTTTTCTTTAGCACTTATTACTTTATTTCTTTATCCTTCTGTTGTGTTGTGAGAAAGAAAAATGTATTATGAATTATGTATTAAATGTATTAAAATGTATTACGAATTAAATTTCCATTTCGTGTTTGTAGAAGGGCTTGTGGATCTAGGTGCAATCCCATATAACTAAGTAGCTGCCAGTTACCTTCCCTGCCCACCTTCACTATCTTCAAATGAGTGTGTGCTGTTTGAATCCCACTTCTCTCCCTATTCTGCATAATAGGGATTTTAATTACACTGTCTTGAGAAATATTTTGAACCAAGAATTTGACAGTTTAATTATAGTGGGTGACTATAATGGACTAATTAACACAAAATTGGATAAAACAAATAAAATAAATAAACAAGGAAACAAAAGGAATCAACTTCCAAAAACCTTCCTCAACTTCAAACAAGAATTCAGCCTGAACGATATATGGAGAAAGACATACCCTACAGAAAAGATTTCACATTCTTTTCAGGCAGACATCAATCATGGTCTAGGATTGATTTGGCCTCGATTTTGAATTATCTATTCACAAAAATAGCAATTACTAATATCCTATCAAGAACACTATCAGACCACTACCCCATTGAATTTACCATAAATGAGACAAAGAAAACCCCCAGATGGAGATTAAATGATAATCTCTTAAAATCAGAAGAAGATAAAAATAAAGAATTATTGAAGGAATATTTCCAGTTGAATATACCTCAAGAGATTTCCCTACAAACCATCTGGGATGCTAGCAAACCAGTGATGCGCGGGCACTTTATCCAATAAAGCTCACAAAAATGTAAAACTAAGTCAACAGATAGCAGATCTAGAATGTAAACTAAAACAAAATCCTAGGGACAAAAAAGCTAATCAAGATTTAAAAATATGGACCATCCAGAGAGAACAATTAGAAACAGAACATCTGGCAAAACAGTTGAAATTTATCAAACAATGAGACTTTCAACATGCTAACAAACCGGGAAGGTGGCTTTCAAGGAAAATCTGCCAAAAAAAAAAAAACCCAAGCACAAATGATAACAGAAATAATAGCTGAGGGAAAATCTTTTGTAAATGATCAAGATGTAATAAAACAGTTCTACAAATACTACCAAAAATTATATACCAAAGATCAGATAAAAAAGAGGATATTATGTCATTTTTAAACAAGCAAAGATTACACAAAATAACAGATCAACAAAGGCTAGCTTTAAATAAAACGATTACAGAAGATGAAGTCAAAGGAGCTGTTAAGAGAATGGATGGGAACAAGGCCACAGGCCCGGACAGCTTTACAGCAACATACTATAAGGCAATGTTAGATGTAGTCACACCACATCTTTTAAATTTGATGAATGGAATTTTATACGATCAAGACAAACTCCCCGAGTCATGGAAAATAGTATACATAACGATGATACATAAAGAGAACCAGGATTCAAGAGACGTTGAAAATTACAGACCTATTCCCCTCCTTAATGTCGACTACAAGATTTTCGCTAGCATACTTGCGGAAAGATTAAAAACATTTTTGAAAGATTGGATTAAAGAGGAACAGGCAGGATTTCTACCTAATAGGCAAATTAAGGACAATGTCAGAATCATTCTAAATGCAATTGAATTCTATGAAAAGAACAATCAAGAAGAATCAGCCCTATTAAGTCTTGATGCGGAAAAGGCGTTTGATAACCTGAACTAGGATTTTTTAAAATTACTTATTAAAGAATTAAACTATGGATTTCAATTCTTAAACACAATTAATGCTATCTATGACAGCCAAGAAACCAAACTGACTATCAATCTGCAAGAATCTGGACCCTTCAAAATGGCCAAAGGCACAATACAGGGTTGCCCTCTATCACCTTTGTTATTTATATTGGCTTTAGAAATTCTACTAAAAAGCCTGAGGGAAGACCCAAATTTAAGAGGAATTAAAATTAATAAGGAAAATTATAAGGTACGAGCCTTTGCAGATGATATAATTTGCATCATTAATAATCCATTAGAAAGTATTTCCAATTGGCTCAAGAAATTTGAAGACTATGGAAAGGTGGCAGGTCTGAAAATAAACAAGAAAAAGTCTATGATACTAACAAAGGAAATTTTAAAAATAAGTTACAGGTATCAGATTTTTATTGACAGAAATGGTAAAATACAAGACATCTTTCACTCTGGCTTTAATGTTTAAAATGTTATTCTTGATCTGTTTTTATGAAATTCTCTATAAACTACATAGTTTGAGGAGGTAACCAAAGAGAAATGATATTAAATTTTAAATTGCAGAACATTTACTTAATATGATAGAACTTTGAACATGCGTTCCATCTTGATGTTTTAATGTTTTCTACGGTTCTAATGTGTTATGGCCTGACTGAAATTTTTATCTTGTATTCAATTACAAATATGCTGCATTGAACTTAGTTAAAGTTGCCTTTGTAGTTTCCTGTTAATATTAGTGCACATATTATAATTTGATTTTCCCTCAGGTACTGGAAACACTTTGCAATTAAGTTCATTTCTTGGCCAATTTATAGGTATTTGTATATGGAAAGAAAATGGATGGTATCAAGTGATGTTATAAATAATGTAATTAAATGTCCATATATTTAGTGCACACATTATATTGAATTGAGAGGCTCTCTACTTTGAAGTGAAGACAATTCGTTCAGTTCACAAGAAAGAACCCTGGATCCAAACTGTGTTGGACTACTTCTGGGATAATTTTACTCAGCGTGGTAACACTTCAGGCTTACTGAAGTGTGTCCGTAACCACACCTTTGTTATTTTAACAGGCCTTTCTTCAGTCTCCTGCAGCCCTCTGTATCATTACAAAATTTGGCCTGGAAGCTTTTGCAGTATGACAGAACACATTCTGAGAGTGCCAGAGGGTTAGGTTGGGAAACCTGAGAGATTACTCCTTCCCAGTTCTTTTGGGGAAACTCATTCAATTAGGATCCTGATCATTTTTGGTTTTACAGACTACCAAAGTAGTTTTAAGATTTGTAAGGTTATAATTACAAAAAAGGGGGAAAAAGAATCTCTTTTGAGTGCTTAGTTGTGTTATGATACACTTTTAAAAACGGAATGTATTCATATTGTTATATGTTACAGGTTTTGAAGATTTGATGAGTCCAGAAGAAAAAGATAAGCTCTATGCAGCAATTGGTTATAGTGAAACAGCTGTTGATCCAACATTGCCCAAAATGGTGTGTTTAATAGTTGATAGTATAAAGCTACAAGAATTTAATTTTGTCTGAAAAATTGGTATCTTTCAAAAGAAAATGATAGTTGGAACAGTGATTGCCGGTCTTTGGGATCTCCATAATCAGTAAGGTAGTTGGGTAGCTTTCAGAAGTATCATATGTTATATTTTTATCTGTGGCATTATTCAGAAATGTTATGCATTTTAATGTGTGCAGCCTGGAAGACCTTTTTTCACCTTCTGGTATTACTTAACCAGAAACACAGAAGAAAGTTGCAGGTGAACTCTTAAGCTGTGCTGTGCTTTATTTTTGTCTCAAACGAATGAGTGGGAGGGTATATATTTTAGCAAGAGTACAGCCAAATGTGTATGATAAAGCCCAGGGTGAGTCAACCAGATTTTACTCTAGCTGTGGTTGCTACCGCATTCTTCCACTTTACAATCACAATAAAATTAGACTTTAAAAAATATCCCCAATGTTCTTTATCCTATTGGAAGCAGTCAAATTGTAGTGCAGTTCAGGCAAGCATATTTGCCGATGATGTCATGTATTTTACTTTGACTGTTCCTATGAAATAAATACCTCCATTATGAGCAGATTTTTTTTAAAATCCAGACCTGTACTTCATGTTCTATTACATTGCTACTTCTACAGGAACATTCAATCTTCTTTTATTAGTCCTGTTGTATAGAAGATCCTTGATAGAAGTGAGGAAAACTATTTAAAATATCTAACAGAGGATAGGGAATCATGGGTCATTTTAATAGTGGCTCAGTTGTATGCTGCAGCTATAACATTTCGGATGATTTTAATGGATAATGTTTTAACCTACACATTTTAATATCTATAGTCATTGATTTTAATCAAGTATCATTTGTAAAACAGGCTTCAGCTATATGTTTTAGACTTGTCATGGATATGTTTCCAATATGAAGCTGATTACAATGGTTTTAATATTTTTTAAAAACTCTAATTTTAATGTTTAAACATTTCCTGGTCTGAGGCTGTAATAAAACTCATTCATTCAGACCTGCACTTCAGTCTAAATTGCAAATGTTTCTGAGTTAAGTGAATATTTTTGTTTCTTTACTTTCATTAGTGAGTTTCTTTTTCTGTTTGTCCTTGTCTGTTTCCCTGTATGCGAGCCTGTTTTTTTAAAAAGATATCTGGTTGAAAAGATGAGCAAATGTCATTAGTTTGTTAGTAAAAAAAAGCAATAAGAAATATCTTATGATGCATATTGTTACATATTAATTAGAGCTCCTTCTGCTCCATTTCATGCTTGGCATAATTTATATGTTCAATGGCCCTCCGAAATGATGTGACTTCAGTGTGAGGAACCAAAGTGTCACAGATTGTTTTAAGAGTGGTGATGGGGGACTCTTACGTTTTTTAAAAATATCCCAAATCAGCCATGATAGTCTCCCCTGCCCTTTGCTCTTTAGGTCTAGGAAATATAAACGGATTGCCTTGTAATGGAGCATAGTTCTGGCCTGTGCCATGATTCTTACTCACAGAATGTTCATGGTTGAATTGCTTAGCTATGTTTTGTAAAAATCCTCTGCTTCTCATGATACCTTTTCCCCCAATTTATACAGTACGAAGCTATGAAACTTCATGTAAAACTATTAAGCATGACAGGAGTAATAAGGGAAAGCAAGGAAAAGCCTGAACTGATAAAAATTGCCTTAATTGATCTGCGTACAACAGTAACCCAACGGCCTGGTGCTGAAGCAATAAGGTTGGCTTTTATTGTATTCATGCTCGCTTCTTAAAACATGTAAATAGCAGTATATCAAATTTGGTGGTATTTTGGATTTCAAATATGAATTTTAATATGTGGTTTCATAGTGAATTGTAGATGACATAATACTTAGAAAATGTCACTGTTTCAGTTGGATATATGCCACCAGTCTCAACAGCTTCCTGCCATAGCTGTTTGCAGACTGGGTATAACTAACCAACATTGTAAAAGCTAGCTTTGATTACTTTCTTCCTCAGCACCAGTCCTTTCATTTCTTAGGAGGTTGTGCAAGCTGTTAGTCCTTAGGTATCCTTTGGCCTGCATTTCCAGGCTGAAAAAATGCAGCCGATTCTTATCTTGATTCAACTTGACCTTATGGTCACCAGGCACTATAAAACCCTTCCAACTAGGCCAGTGCATACAGCTTGTTTTAAATGTGAGATCACTCCCTGATTCCACTTTCTTTTCCCAACTGTTGCCTTAGATTGCAACTCCTGTTTGTCTCTGACTTAAAGTAGTTTCAGGACTTCTGCTTTCTATTTCAGCCTTAAAACTTAAACCCAGTTCTTGACAGTCATGCTAATGATGCACTTCCTACTGGAACTTCATTGCTTATTTGCCTGATTTATTTAGACTAGTTACACCTTGCCCTTCATCTAAAAAGCTCCTAAAGTGGCTTACAGATATGTGTCTGCTATCATGTGTAGTCTCTCTGAGACTAGTTGAAGTCCTGATACTAAGAACCAAACTTGGCATGGAATTAAATATTGGGTTATATTTTGTGTTTTTAGCTTTTCTTTCTTAATAACAAGTACCCACTGCTTTAATATGCACACCTAACTTCAGAAGGTTGGATTTGAAAGTATTGAAACTGAGGCTTTTATCAGTCAGACAGATACTTGTCCTCTTTAATGAAGTAGTTGTCCCTTGATGAATGCCGTTCCCTGCCAAGTTTCCAGAAAATAAAGGAACAATTGTACTTTGTGGACACAAAAGTGTTGCCAACCACTGACATAATCTGACAAAAGCCATAGCTGGGAACACACTGACATGTTGGAGAAAACATTCTTGGCTGTTCTCACACTCGATAGGCTTAGAAGCACTGGAATACAATCAAAGCCACTGGTTAGGGTGCCTCCTGCTTTAGTATGGACATTGTAACTGTCTGCACCAGCAGTTTTTATAATATCACAAGCAGTATCAAACTTCATTGTTCAGCTTTCCATAGCCATGCTTTTCATCTCTTTCCCTGCTGTTATATTTCTGCTGAATCACTCTAAATAGCATCAACCAACACCATAGTAACATTCTGCAGTGATTTTAGTACCATCTTTTTTTCCAATTGTACATCAGATTATTCTGCTACACTTTTTATGTAGATTCAAATTTGAAATATCAGATATCAGTGTCTTCAGCAGAGGGTATTAAGATCTGATTTTTGAGCTGGTTCATTCACACATCTCAGTAGCAGCAGGAAGCAAAAATCTGCATTTGCCTTAATCTATAAAGAAAGTCAAGAAAAGAAGGAAAGAAATACTGTATACACAAATAAATCTAAACATCGATATGTAGGTCAGATTTTAAGGTTGGACAGAAATTTACATTTTCAGTAGATTAAACAAGATATGGACATATTCAGTTAACAAAGAAGCTTATTTTTGCAAACCATTTTTATGGCTGCCTGGCCTCCCTTTTTCTATTCCTCGCTTTAGTAGGAAGGTCTTTTTTAACAGCATATCAATTGAGTAAACGGTGAAGTGCTGGAGAAACACATGCTTTTGGTGCCATATTGTTGCAATGTTTGTAAGGGAGAGGCCCAACTTGAGATGGGAAACTATGTCAGTCCTCCAGCAAGCAAAATAAATAACGTTTTCTAGATTCCCATGCTGAGCATGCATGAATAGCAAAGCAGTTAATGTAAGGAAGGGGATAAACTTGTGTTACCAGTTATGCTCAGGGGAGCTTTTTAAAGCATAGATTTAGAAACCATAATAGAAATTGTTAAAAAGTAGGGGATAGTGTAGTGATTCTCAACCTGTGGATCCCTAGATATATTGGCATTCAACACCCAGAAATCCTAACAGCTGGTAAACTGGCTGGGATATCTGGAAGTTGTAGACCAAAACACCTGAGGACTACAGGCTGAGAACCCCTGGGCTAGTGAAAGAAAAGGGGGAAAATCCCTATGCATTTTAGAGGAAGCTTACACTTAGTCTCTAGAACAGGGGTCTTCAAACTTTTTAAACAGAGGGCCAGGTCACGGTCCCTTAAACTATTGGAGGGCCAGATTATAATTTGAAAAAATGAATGAATTCCTATGCACACTGCACATATCTTATTTGTAGTACAAAAAATACTTAAAACAATACAATAAATAAAATGAAGAACAATTTTAACAAATATATACTTATTAGTATTCCAGTGGGAAGTGTGGGCCTGCTTTTGGTTGATGAGATAGGATTGTTGTTGTTGTGTGCTTTCAAGTCATTTCAGACTTAGGTTGACGCTGAGCGAGGGCCGGGTAAATGACCTTGGAGGGCCGTATTCAGCCCCCGGGCCTTAGTTTGAGGACCCCTGGTCTAGAAGATTCAAAATATTTTTGCTAACTTATACAAGCCACATCTGAACTGGTAGTTTCACTTCATGTGTGCTTACTGTTAGTTTTGAATAAAAGGTTTGCTGAAATATGGTGAACTGTTTTTCTTTTTTTTTTTTTTGTGGTATAAAAACCTATTCTTATTCTTTCCATATTAATTCTGCTTCTGGTACCATACATTTTGTTAATGAAATAATGCCTAGGAACACATTTGCCTTGTTAACTGAGGTATACTGGGTACTTCATTTGATACACTCGAAATCATTTGTTTTGGTACTCTGATACTGGAAACTATAATAGGCAAGACAAATCGAAGCCTGTAATTAGTAAGAAAATTGCTTTCATGTGCAGTGGAGTTTTAGTGGAGTTTAAGATAAAAAAAATTAAACACCAAAATGTCATTTTTGAACAATAGAATTATATATTTGTTTACATTCTTACATAATTTTTGTGATTTATACAGATTTGAATCAAGTGTAAGTGCATTTGAAGTTCATGGCGTGGCTCAAGGAAAAACAATACCCTGTTTGCTGTCATCCCACACAATCCATTCAGGACACAGCACATCACTCTTTACCATCATGTTTGAGACCAATCCATTAGATGAGACTGCCAATCAGAGGCTAAGAATAGAATCACAACCTTTGGAAATAATATATGATGCAGTAAGTAGACAAGTGTGTGCGCGCGGGTGTGTGTGTATGTGTGTGTGTGTGTGTGTGTATATACACACACACATACACAAATAAAATAAAGTTAATATTCACATTCAATTCTGATACATCTGTATGTTATTATGCACTTTTGTCAGATGACAGTGAATAGCGTAGTGGATTTCTTACGACCTCCGGGTGATGTTCATCTAGAGCAGCTGACCACAGCAACTTTAACAAAATTAGAAGAATTAGGGGAAAAGACAGCTACAGGTAAGTGTGAAGAATTTTTTAAAAAAGATGGATTCCAATTTTTCTGGTCTGAAACTCTTAAGGTAACTTTGGACATCACAGTATATGCGGTTTTCTCTGCATGGAGATAAACTTAGCAAGAAATATGTGACAGGCTTTTAATATATGTTATTTGATATTGGCATGCACCTCTATGTAATGGAATCCCCTTGAACTGCAGCTGATATTTGGCTTACATGTATTCTATCATAAAATTATTTGTGGTTCTGTATTGTCTGTGTTGTGATTCTTAATTTCTTTCTCATGTTTTTCCAGGTCTAGTGTATATTATAGAAACACAGAAAGTTCTGGACTTAAAAATAAATCTAATGGCTTCCTATATCATTGTACCACAAAATGGTTTCTATGACTCAACTTCAAATAATTTACTTTTGGATCTTGGTCATTTAAAGGTAAAACCCTCAAAATACCAATAAACTCCGTAATATTGTGTCTTTAGCTTATCTTTCTGTACTAAATGTATAAATAATTGCATATTTCCTCAAATTCATTTTTGCCCCTTTCGTTTAATATATTTTTCTGATACTGGAAACTATAATAGGCAAGACACATGTCATGAAATATTTTGAAAACTGGGAGTATATATATGTATGCTTGGAAATGCAAAAACATTTCGTGCAATAAAAACAACAGATATAGCATTACAGTGTGGCATAATTTTATAAACCAGGCCCCACTTTTGACAAAATTGTTTCTGGATATGAAAAATATGATAGTCTTTTGGGCAGCAACAGATTTCTTGTTTTTCTGCAATAGATTTAACATGCTTATCCTTCTGCAATTTTTGAGAATGTTTGTTATTTCAGATGAGTAATCGGAAGAATAATGTGTGTTTCTAGTAGGCTAATAATAATAATAATAATCATCATCATCATCTTTATTTATATTCTGCTCTATCTCCCAAAAGGGACTCAGGGTGGATTCCAAACATAAAAGGCAAACATTCAATGCCCGAATACAACAACAATACATCCATACTAACAAAATGTATACAACCCAACATATAAATATGAATTATAACTTAACAAACTAAAATATTTCTTAGTGGTTATTCTTCTCAAACATTCCATTTGATAGTCTGTGTGATAAAGATAGAATATTTCATTAGTTCAAGAAATTTGGAAAAATCTTTTCATTTTCTTAATATACAATTTCTTTTATGTGTAATTAAAATTGGCTATCAATTTTAATATGCTGTGACATGTTATTACAATGATTTTTTTCTTTTATAAGATGACTAGTAAAAATCCATCTTCCTTGGAAGAACTCAAAGTTGGTGAAAGTGCTCTTGAAGATATTATATCAAGAGCATATGATAAATTTGACATTCAACTCAGCAGCATACAGCTTCTTTATAGCAAACATTGTAAGTATTCATACAAATTTATTTTACATAGATTCCCAAAATTAGAACAATATAAGTTAGTAAAAGTTATCTTCAAATATACCATAGTCTGTGTTAGTGTTTGCTTAAGCATTAAACATAAAAGCATGTGTGCCCACATAACCCACAAAGAAGTGTGATGTTGACAGGATGTGCTTCCCTACATATTGGCCAAACAGGATTATGGAAGTTGGTTTTGAGTTCCTGCCTTATTCAACTGTTCACTTCTAAAAGGAGTAATGTTTTTATTTTACTGAAAGATTACTGATAATGTGGGGGACTTGAAACTGTTTTCCCTCGTATTGCCCCCCCCCCTACTCGTTGCCTTCTTATGGGGGACTTGAAACAGCAATGGGAAACTTGAAACCGTAGCTTAGAAAGAATGTTAAGAGATAGCACCTAGTTTGCTTGTCTTGTGTTTTTCTTGTTTTCTTTATATGTTCATTTCCTAGTGTGTACACATCAGAAGTAAGATTGCACATGAGCAAAGAAGCTAGAAACATGTGTGATTTCCTGTAAAACATGTAATTTGTAAAGAAATAGAAACTTAAGTATAGATTTGTGTGCACATGACAGAGGGTGAGATTCCACAACAATATTGACTTCATTTAACGTTAATTATTCCTGTGTGAGTCAATACCCAGATTTTACCCATCTGTACTCAGCTGTGAACAGGATTCTTGATATTATAAATGTGTAGAACTCTGATTGCGAAGATATAGCATAAATGAACCTCAGTGTTGTCCGTGCCTCTAGATTGGAGTAGACAAAGTGCAGTCTGCAGGCCACATACAACTCTCCCAGGGTCCATCAGAGGTCACAAACTTTTTTGTGGTTAAAAGTGTCTCAGAGTGACCTCTATGGAGGGTGTGGAGGACATTTTCATCATATTTGGGGGGGGGGTAGACCAGTTTAGTCCTAGGAGGGACTTTTTCCTGTTGCTAAAAAGAATTTTCCTGGGTTTAAAATGGCTCAGGAAGCCCCAAAACATGGCTGAAAAATTCTGAAGCCCTGAGGCAGTTTTTCTCAGCCGTTTGCCATGAATTCTATCATTAATTCTAGGAATTGAAGTTCAAAACAACTGGAGGGTGAAAAGTTGGGAACCATGGCTTTGGAGGGTGTTTGGGTAATTTATTTGTGTGTGGGAGCAGGTATGATGGGAGTGTGGCTCTCAAAGTCCTCCTAATGTGACCCCCTAGACTTCCATTGATGCCCACTGTTCCTCTAAATGTGTGTGTGCCATTGGAGCTCAGGATAGGATTATAGACTCCACCATGAAACAGAATAAATTGCCATGCTTATAAGTTCAATAAAATATGAGACATGAAAGGTGTGAATAAGTCTTATTTGCATAATATGTAGTATGTAATATGTAGTTTTGTAACAAAAAAGCAAACAAAACACCCTACTTTCTTGTGTTTAGATGAAAGCTGGGAGAATGCTCGTAGTCTGCGGTCATCATCTCAACATATTTTGCAGCCTCTGGATGTTAAAATGGAATTCAGCAGAGCTATGGTTGTAACAGATATAAGAATGCCCAAGTAAGATTCTTTTAGGTGAATTTTTACAAAACTGTTTTAATAAAAATCACAATGATGCTTCCTGTCATACTATTCCTGACCCACGTTTGAGTAGATTTGAGTAGCATGCATAATCAATTTTGTAATAAATTGCATGTGTCACCTTTTTTCCTCCATAGGTGTATCTCCTCACAATCCATTTTGTTTCTACTGTCACAAACTGTTTGCCTCTACTTCAGATCATGTATGAATATTACATAATCACAGTAAAATTTCAGATATTGAGGGGATTCTACCATTCTTTCTGCTCTTTAACTGATTATCTAGCCATGGAAGCTTCCTTCTAAATTCCTTAGTTTACTTAACAAATGGATGAGAATTGACCTTGTCAAAATTAGAAATGATTTACCCTTGAGAGGTTGTTATCCTACCATTTTTATTGTGCTTTTTATTTACTTTTTGATATTATTTATATTTGATATTTAGTGGGCCAACCAGAGAAATCTTGTTTTGGGGTATCAATTTATCAGCTAAATGAATAAGTTAAGCTCCTAGTTCACAGCAGTGGTTACAGTTTTATGGATTCCTTTCTCTAATAGGTACAAAATATTTGGTGAACTACCACTACTGTCATTCAGCATCTCAGATGAGAAATTGAAATGTATTATGGAACTTATTGATAGCATTCCTAAACCTGAAACTGCTCAAGACACTTCCATTGCACAACCTTCAAAGGCAAGTATGATTGAATTTATTATTATTATTATTATTATTATTTATTTATTTATTTATTTATTTACTATATTTATACCCCACCCTTCTCAACCCGGAAGGGAACTCAAGGTAGCTTTACACCTAAGTAACTATTCAATGCCTTAAAAACAACATACAATTAAAACAAACATTAAAATTAATGCCCATTAAAACATTTAAGAACATGTTTTTGTCATCTGGGGCGAATCCTATAGTCATAGCACATATCCTTTTATTGCACTACAATTATTCTCCGAAAGTTTGTTCCCAAAGTCATGTTTTCATTTTCCTTCTGAAGGCTAGGAGGAAGGCGGTGATCTAGAGAAACTATTTAAAAACATAATATATGCCTTTTTCCATAACATATGCCTCTGTCAATTGGAAAACTATTACAAAATTTGAGAATTGTGACCAGAAAATCTGAAGGATGACTTTTTCCAGTATGAATCTACCTGTTCTCTAAATGTTCATGTCTGATTTATTTTTTCTTGCTATTTATATTCTCTCCCCCGCTTTTTTTGGTCAGGTTCAACTATCTTCATTGCTAACAACACCACAAATGTCAATCTCTGTACTTCCACTTCTAGAACTCCATTCAACAACTGGATCAAGTGGTAAATGTTTTCTTCTTCCTAAAGTGATTTCAGTAGTAATTTTTAGTAGTAATTTTATTGATTAGCCCTTAGGCCATATCACAATAAGAAACAGAACAACAAGGCCTGACAAGACCTGATCACACTCCACGTAGAAAGTTAAAATAAGACACTTATAATAATAATAATAATAATAACTTCAGGTTTCAAATGACAATGGGTTCCCTAGGATAGGGCCTGTCATAGACTTTGCGCAGATGCATGATTAGGACTTCATTTCTGACATCACTATTTTCAGGTATTGATACACCATGTTCTACAGCTAGCCCTCTATATTCTCAGTTGTTAGGGATGAAGGAACCACATGAAAGTAGAAAACTGCAAATATATCTGAAGGCAGATAGATTAGTGGAGCTTGATGTTCTTTTAGCTCACCTTAAGATGCGTTTGGGGGGGCGGGGGGCGGTGGCAGAGCAGTAGCAATCCCCTTTGCCAACCAGCTGTGAAAGCCTAGCTGCATCTACTATATTCTCAGGATGGCAAAGAAAAGTAATCCAGTACATTAGGTTTTCACCCCCATGCTCCAACTGGAATGGCAGGATCCAAGATTCTATTTTTGTTGAGCCATTTAGAACCCTGCTCCCTTCTGCAACAGTTTTTTTTCTGTCCTGCCTAACCAATAGCCGTGTTTGCCCTTCTCTGACAAACTTATAAGGCAAAGATGTTAGTAAAGATTAATATCAAGGAGAAAATAAGGAAACAAAGCAATAATCTATCTCTTAGTAAGCTCCAACTGCCATTGGAGTTCACTAGGAGATAGAACATGGGCTCTGAGGCAATGACTCCCATGTGGAGAGAACATTGCAGTAGCAATGATAATTGCAAGTGTAATTTTAAAAACAGCACCCATTTTGAAAACGAGAGAAAATTGCTCCAGAGTCGAGAAGAACATTGTAGCAATGATCTGTCTCCTGGTAAGCAGCAACGACTATTTTTAAAACAGCAACTTGAAGGCAGCGCCTCCAAAGTGGGGAAAAACATAGGAGTAGCAATGATATCTCTCTTCGTTTCACTACAGCTCCCATTTTGAAAACCCAGTTTTAAAGCAATAGACTGCTTGGGAGCAGATTGCCTCTTTCTGGGCATATTCAGTGACCTCCAAGTCTTTATTGGTAAATGCTAGCATTACAGATAAACAAGAAGCAAATCAGATATAGCCGCTCGGGGGATACAGAGGGTCTCTGGGGAGAAGGGGAACTTAAGGAAATATTCTTGTCCTCTAGTGATCTATTTCAAAGATTTGAGCAGACACAAATAATAAAGAAGGAATCTTTCCGCTGGTGGCATGTCAGCATATCAGGGACACAATAAAATAACTAAAAATGCCTCTCAGATGACTGCTGGTCTCCTCTGAGGAGAAGAAGGACTTGAGTAAAATATTCCTTTTCCCTAGTGAGAGTGATTTGAAGGATTTAAAGGTGTAGCCTATGAGTAAATCCAGGAAGGTTAGTGAGGAAAAGTGGAGCTCTGAATTGAAAAACAAACAAACAAAAAAGGCTAGACGAACACAAAATCACAAAAAATTCAACCCTCAGACAGTTATGATACTTCAGTGATCTATTTGAGAAAAAACAATACTAAGCTGATGGGGGAGGCTGCTTTGGACAAATGAAAAAAAAGTGAACAGAAATGTAGTCTTTGTTTGAGACTGGATCATCTCTCCTCCTCCTCCCCTTATGGAGGTCAGGCAGTTTATTTATTTATTTTTTATAAAAACAGAAACCAGAGATTCAAAGGCAGATTTTCTTTCTTCAAAAAATAGTCCCACATCAAAAACATTACTATTATGTGATGAAATATGATATTTTTTATGATTTTCTGTTTCTCCTTGGTAGAATAGATTATTTGCTGTTTATCTGTTCACATTTCCAAGGCATAAAGAGCAATATGCAAATAAATTGGAAGCAAATTTTCAACATGCTTCATTTTGGAGTTATTTTGCCTGTAATTATTTAGTCCACATGGTAATGTGTGTTTAACTTAGAATAGTTTTAGATGACAAGAATACAGTGCTTTTACATCAAATATTGATGTCTGCACACACACACTTGGAAGCAGTGGTGTCTAAGATACTGCAATAAACTGTCAGTTATATGGTGTAAATACACTTATGTTGTTGTAATAATTGTATTCTCAACTTATAATATATTTAGGTGACAGTGAAAATGTATTATAACAGTCATTATTTGAACTATCATAATTATTAGAATCTGAAGATGAATTTTATGATGCTCCAAGTAGTCCTCTGGAAGACGTGAAATTTTTTGAAGCCACTCTGGGTTCCTGGGGTAGTATGGGCAGTGTCCGACGACGGGAATCTTTGAAGAATATGATTGATTTTGAACTAAGATTTGAAATATATGAGGTAATATGTGTATTTTATCTTCTTCCATAGAAGCCTTATGCATTTCCTTTCATATTTGGTCTTAAAAAACACCTTCATTGCCATCAAGCTTGTTACCATTGTAGTTGCTAAATTGCTTTACTCCAAAAATAATATAACTATTTTTGTTTTTGTCCTTACCATTCTCTCAATTTTTCATGTGACTGCACAGTGTGTGGATTTTTCAAATACTTTCATAGTAATATTTTCCAAAGTAGGCTTTGGCTCTAGAAATTGGTCAGGTGGAAGGCGCTCATGAGGTGAAGCTTATCGCTGCAACCTGCCCTCTTTCTGTCCCTCAAAGGTTTCTTGTAAGGTACATAGAGCCTCAGTTACAGCTTGAATATGCTATGAAAAGAGGAAAAATTGTACAGAAACCACATGCATAATATGCACACTTTGGAGAGCCTTTTGGGTGATGTAAAAGGTCACAGGTTGTAATCAGGGTCTGGAAAAGTTCAGACATTATTGAACTTAGAAATACATAGATATATAAAAAGGGTTTGCATGTTAATTTCTTAATATTTTTAATTATCCATTTCTATATCTGACTTGAATGTAGCACCTTGAATAATGACCATGTGACTTGGCACTATGTTTTTAATCTGTTTTATTGCATTTATATGTTTTAACTGTTTTATAATATGATACGTTATATCTATTATTGTATGTATCATGCACCATTGAATTTACCATGATCTATAAGCCTCTTTGAGTCCTGTTTGAGGTGAGAAGAGCAGGGTATAAATATAGTAAATAAATAAATAAATAAATAAATAAATAAATAAAAGAGTTTTTTAAAATAATATAGCAACATAGAAATGATCTAATAACATTTATATAATGGGACATAACAATAGTTATACTAATAAGAATTGATTGGTTTCATATTTTAAATCTCAAAATACTGAGGTTTTTTGGGCTATATGGTCATGTTTTAGAAGCATTCTCTCCTGACGTTTTGCCTACATCTAAGGCAGGCAACCTCAGAGGTTGTGACCTGACAAACTCTGAGAATGCCTGCTATAGATGCAGCCAAAATGTCAGGAGAGAATACTTCTAGAACATGGCCATATAGCCCGAAAAACCTACAACAACCCAGTGATTCTGGCCATGAAAGCCTTCGACAATACATCTCCTAGTACTGTTATGGTGAGTACATGCATTTAGATACTTTTGATCAATAATCTAATGTTCTACACTCATACACAGATTTTTTCCCCTTTCTGATTCAATATTATTTATATTGATAGTAGAATCTGTTTCAGATGCTTTTTCAAACTTGAAACAGAATCAGACAGGTTTTCATGTTTGAATTGCCAAAGAGTATCCAAAGAATGTGTTGTTGAAGGCTTTCATGGCCAGAATCGTTGTGTTGCTGTGAGTTTTCCGGGCTGTATGACCATGTTCCAAAAGCATTCTCTCCTGATGTTTCACCCACATCTATGACAGGCATCCATAGATGGGATGGGAGAAAGAACAGAAAGGAGGAAACCATGAAAATGAACAAAATCTGGCTACCAGTATTAAAAAAACCTTCTAAAATCAGGACAGTAAATAAATAACAGCATTCAAAAACAGGGAAATTCCAGACAAAAAACAATCAAGGCCAGCCAATCACCTTCCAACAAAGGATTCCCCCAGCAGGAAACAACCAAGCTTGTTTGTTTAATGGTTTTAATTTGTATTGTGCCTCATTTTTACTTAAATTGTAATCTGCCTTTGGTCCCATATAGGAGAAAGGTGGGATATAAATACAATATAGAGCAATGTAGTAAAATAAATAAGTGCCCAATGTATCATTCTCCTATATGTAGAAAGTTATTCTTGTGAAGATTTTTGGCCTGAAAGGCAGCATATGCATTCTACATAGGGCTGCCTTTGAAGAGTTTTCCATAACTTCAGCTGATTCAAAGCTGGTTAGATTGTTAACCGAGGCTGACTACAGACAATACACAACCCTATTGTTGCAACAGCTCCACTGGGTGCCAGTCTATATCAGGCACAGTTCAGAGTACTGGTTATGATCTATAAAGCCTTATACAGTTCAGTTCCAGGCTGTCTGGCAGATTGCATCTCCCTGTACAAACCTGTCCGGGACTTTCTTTCAGTTCCACCACCATTGCAAATTCAGTTGGTGGGAACAAAAACGGTGGCTGCTTCTCAGCTCTGGAACTCCCTGCCCAGGGAAGACAAAATGACTTTATCCCTGATGTTCCTCCAATGGCAAGCTAAAACTTTTCTTTTAGGCAAGGTTTTAAAGAAGAAAAAAATAAGACCTGTTCAGAGGGTGTTGTGTGGTGTTTTGTGTATTTTAAATTGGTTTTAATGGTTTTAATTACTCATTTTAAATAGTACTGTTTAATTCTATTTTAATGTTTTAAATATTGTCTTATTATTTTTACCACAGTTCACCACTTTGAGTCTCGTTAAGAGAAAAAATGGGTATATAATAATATAACAACAACATGCATAATTCAAATAATGCACACATGATAGAACAACTGCCTGTTGCTGTCATGAGTGTAGGTGTAGTTGACCATGGCGATTTTTTTTTGTACATAGGCATTTCTTCAAGTTTGCCGTTTTGAAGAAGATGTTGAACAGCCAGTCCTTCGTCTAGAGATTTTAAAATTAGGCACTGAGCTTAAGCTAAGGACCTATGATATGTATGCTACAGTTTATCTTAGAGAAGTTTGCTTATTATGTCCAGAATACATGGGTAAGCATTTATTTAAACAATTCTGTGCCACACTTTAGTTTTAAAAAGCTCTAACCACTATCTTCAAATAGTTAATTTGAAAGTCCCTACCTCTAGGCTTGAAAACTAAGCAAGGTATGATGCAAACGAATACTGGAAATTGGTGTGAAATTAAGTTCAACCATTCTTAGCACAGCAGAAGTGTGTATGGCTTCTTGTTCTCTTCCATAGATGCCAGAACACTGGAACCTGGAAAGAGAGACGTGATGGGGGGTGCACCTGACTGCTCTTCTTGCACAGTGCCAGAGCAGATTAACATATCTTTTAAAACAATAATGTATTGATGAGAACCTGCAGTGTATGGGACAGGTTGAGGAACGAGGGAAAATTATTTTATTAGAGTTAGATCAGAAAAGGATTGTTTAAATTACACTGCTAGATTTCTATCAATAGTTTGGCTTTAATGCATACTCAAAAATTTGGGTGAAGTGCTTCCCATACATACTTGATATTCCTCACTGAGGTTTAATAGAGGAACAGTATTCTAGTTACTGTAAGATGAGTTCTAGCCTTTATCTATAATTTAAATGTTTTCATTTTCCTCTGAGTTTTGACATTATAATCTCTTACTAGTGCTACTGCCTTAGAGACATTTAAGCTGTACAAAATTCAAAGGAGAGACCACTTGCCTGCCATTCTGTGTGTGACACTAGGCTCTATATGATGTGACATTTGTGCATATGTTAAGTGCAGGACCTGTCTCAGCTTGGGTGAAAATTGGATGAAAGGAAAGCACTATGAAATCATGAGCTATCGCCCATTCTCAACCTCGCTGAAGGATCAATCCACAAGTGGGTTATTCTCTCACATGAACAGATCAAGGCACAAAACATCTCCCTCAGTTTATTTTTTAAAAACGAAAATTAATTTAAAATCAACATTTGGATAAATCATGTATATTAGACTGTTGCCAAGTTTTCTAAATTCTTACTTCCTTTTAAGTAATGATGGTTGCCATATAAATAGCACTTTATTGGTCTGATGTATTATTATTTAGGGGGGAGGGGGCTAATTTGGAATAAGACCTTTATACAAGACTGAGGACCCGAAGGAATAACTACACTGCCATTACATAGAACTATGCTGCTAACCTGCCCAGCTTCAGCACTTTAATCCATTGACTTGACAACTTGCACCTTAAACGTTTAATCCCTCCATGTCGCACTTTACTTAGCTCTTTAGATATCAGTAAATCCTACTGCACTTCAATAGCTTTCATATCACCTAGCACTTTAAAGTCGATACCTGCCTGCACTTTAAGAATTTCTAGTGACATTGTATTAACATCTACCCTCCATGCTGTTCCCTATCCCCTGGTGTCTGTTGATTGTATTGTTGATTGATTGGGAAAGGGATAGGGAGTGGAGTGGGCTGGAGAAAGCTGGAAATAGTAGAGCAGAGGTGGGAAATGAATGGAGGGGAGGATTATGGCAAGCTGAAATACCAACAGACCTAACAATCAGTAACGAACCATGGGTTGAAGTTGTGAAAGCTGATTGTGACATGGAGGAGGGGGTGATGGCCCGTCAGCCGAGGGGCTCCCATAGAAACTATAATGGGGAGGGGGAGAATGCAGGAAAGGGAGACCACGAATTCAGCCTAGGGATTGTAGAACTTTAGTAATTCCAAACCGGTCTCCTGACGTGGTAAATCAGTGTACCCAGGATTGCGGTCCCTCTGGGTTGAAGGTGGTGCTATTGAATGCCAGATCTGTCAACGGAAAAACATGGTTCATCCAGGATTTAATCCTGGAGGAACGGGCAGATCTGGCGTGCATTACGGAGATCTGGTAAGATGAGGCTGGAGGTGTAAACTTAACCCAGCTTTGCCCGCCAGGTTTCTCTGTACAGCACCAGCCGAGATCCGGGGGGCGGGGAGGCGAGGTTGCAGTGGTCTATAGAAATACCATTCCTCTGACCAGGGGCCCCATCCCGCAGTCAACCAATTTTGAATGTGTCCATCTGAGAGTGGGTGACCGGGACAGAATAGGGGATTCTGTTAGTGTACCGTCCACTTCGCTGCACTATGGTCTCCTTACCTAAGCTAGTGTGGGTGGTCTCGAGCTTGGCATTGGAGTCCAAACGATTCCTTGTGCTGGGGGACTTCAGTGTACACGCTGAGGCTACCCTACTAGGAGCGGCTCAGGACTTCATGTCTTCCATGGCAACCATGGGGCTGTCCCAACCGGTATCTGGCCCCACTCACAGTGTGGGACACACGTTGGATTTGGTTTTCTGCCAGGGATGGGAGGATGGTGGCGGTGTTGAGGAGTTGACCCTCTCTCCGTTGCCATGGACGACCACTACCTGGTCAGATTTAGACTCACTGCACCCCCTAACCTCTGCAGGGGTAGAGAACCCATTAAGTTGGTCCGCCCCAGGAGGCTTATGGATCCAGATGGATTCCTGATGGCTCTTGGGGAGTTTCCCACCACCTCGGTAGGTGATCCTGTTGATGCCTTGGTCGCCCTCTGGAATGGGGAGATGACTAGGGCAATAGACACGATCGCTCCAGAACGTCCCCTCTCAAGTAGCCGAGCTAAACCAGCTTCTTGGTTTAACGAGGAGTTGCAGCGATGAAGCGAAGGAAGAGGGAACTAGAGAGCGTGTGGCGTTCGGATCCGAGCAAGCCAAATCGAACACGGTTTGTGACCTTTCTAAGGGCATATGCCGCGGCAATAAAGGCTGCAAAGGAATCTTTCTTTGTGGCCACTATTGCGTCTGCAAAGAACCGTCCAGCTGAACTGTTTTGAGTTGTCACAGGCCTTTTAAATTCCACCACTCAGGATGGGAGCCCTGACAACTTGGCAGCTTGCTGTGAAGCTTTTGCTCAGTTCTTTGCAGACAAAGTCGCTTTGATCCATTCTGGTCTGGACACCATGTTAACAGCAGTCTCTGTGGATGTAATTTGAGCATCTGCTTGTCCGATTTTGATGGATTCATTTCAATTGGTGAAACCCAAGGATGTGGACAAGATACTTGGAGGAATGAGGCCTACCACATGCATCCTAGACCCCTGCCCATCCTGACTTTTAAAGGAAGCCAGAGGGGGATTGGCCGGGTGGGTAAAGGTGGTGGTTAATGCCTCCCTTCAGGAAGCACTATTCCAGCGAGCTTAAAACAAGCTATAAGAAAACCACTGTTGAAAAAACCATCACTGGACCCCACTCAATTCGACAACTATCGGCCAGTTTCCAATCTCCCCTTTTTGGGCAAAGTCCTGGAATGTGTGGTTGCTTCACAACTCCAGGTATTCTTGGAAGACACGGATTTTCTGGATTCTGCACAGTCTGGCTTTAGGCCGGGACATGGAACTGAAACAGTCTTGGTCGCTTTAGTGGATGATCTTCGGGGCTGAGTGGGTAAAGGTGGTGGTTAATGCCTCCCTTCGGGAAGGCAGTATTCCAGCAAGCTTAAAACAAGCTATAATAAAACCACTGTTGAAAAAACCATCACTGGACCCCACTCAATTCGACAACTATCGGCCAGTTTCCAATCTCCCCTTTTTGGGCAAAGTCCTGGAACGTGTGGTGGCTTCACAACTCCAGGTATTCTTGGAAGACACGGATTATCTGGATTCGGCACAGTCTGGCTTTAGGCCGGGACATGGAACTGAAACAGTCTTGGTCGCCTTAGTGGATGATCTACGCCGGGAGCTAGACAGGGGGAGTGTGTCCCTGTTAGTTCTGCTGGACCTCTCAGCGGCCTTCGATACCGTCGACCACGGTATCCTTCTGGGACGCCTTGTGGGGATAGGTCTTGGAGGTACTGTTTTGCAGTGGCTCCGGTCATTCCTGGAGGGCCGATCTCAGAAGGTGTTACTGGGGGACACCTGTTCAACCCCACAACCTTGTCTTGTGGGGTTCCTCAGGGTATCAACATCTACATGAAGCCGCTGGGGAGATCATCCGGAGTTTCGGGTACGGTGTCATCTGTACGCGGATGATGTCAAACTCTGTCACTCCTTCCACCTGACTAAGGAGGCTGTTCAGGTCCTGAACCGGTGCCTGGCTGCTGTGTTGGACTGGATGAGGGCTAACAAATTGAAATTGAATCCAGACAAGACAGAGGTCCTCCTGGTCAGTCGCAAGGCCGAACAGGGCATAGGGTTACAGCCTGTGTTGGATGGGGTTACACTCCCCCTGAAGATGCAGGTTCGCAGCTTGGGTGTGATCCTGGACTCATCACTGAGCCTGGAACCTCAGGTTTCGGCGGTGACCAGGGGAGCATTTGCACAGTTAAAACTTGTGTGCCAGCTGCGCCCATACCTTGGGAAGTCTGACTTGGCCACGGTAGTCCATGCTCTGGTTACATCCCGTATAGGCTACTGTCGGAATTTTTTTTACAGCTTTTAGGCTCTTACAATCCCCCAGCAGCCTGCCATCAATGTTTTTCTAGTCTCAGCTTACAAATCTTTCAGTGGAGTTAAAGAGAGCAGTGCCCTTGACATCCCTCACACTTTTACATAGCAATTATATGTTTATTTTAAGATACATGTATAATATAACATTATGCTTAATTGAAATCATTCAAATGAGTATCAAGGTAGATGCTAATATTTAGGTGTCTTTATTAGATGATGAAAATAAGCCAGTTTACATCATTTCAACCCTGGATAATTTAGTGGAAGATCTTCTATCAGTTGAGTTAATAAAGGTAAAGGAAATTGATTTGAATCCTTTTTGTGAACAAGTCTATGATGGAATTTGTATGATAGTATTTAAAATAGCCATATATAATTATTTAAAAAGTAGTGACATAATCTTGTATGGTATTGCAGCAGATATAAAACTAACACCTAATAATATGTATAAATATGTGGTGCAACCACAACTGGGCTAATGTGAGTAGTTTGATTAATGTATATAGTTGTGTATAAGTCGACTTTGTGTAAAACTCAAGGCTAGATTTGGGGGCCAGAATTCATAATTTTGGCATGACCCATGGATAGGTTGAGAACTTTGGGGATCACGAGAAAATAGGCAAAATCAGGGGTGTCTTGAGCTGCCATGTGGGAGCGGGTATTGAGCCAAATGGTGAGCAAAGAATGATGCTGAGAAATATTTGACTCAAGAGGCTGCTACTAACTCAACTTTTGCCTGCTTCCAACTTAGTCTTTGGATCACCACCCCTTGGTAATGCTTTCTTTTACCTGCCGTCTTCAGCTCTTCCACCCATAGCCAGCCTATTGGTCTCCTCCGAGAGGTAGAGGAGGAGGAAGATGCAAGCTGGCTGATGACAACTGGAGCCATGGCCAGATGGGCATCTGGGTGGGCAGGCAAGAGTTAGTCGGGGTAAAAAAAGCACTACCCCTCTTAGCTCTTTTTACCAAGTTAATGGCAAAGAGCCACCACTGCTATTATTTTCCTGCTCAGGCATATATAAAGGCCAGGATTGGCAGCAGTACTGTTTCAATCCATGTAAAAGATAACTCCTATTTGGGGGTCAAATTTTTGGCATACATTTTTCAACTTAAACATGAGTATATATGGCATGTTTTCTCAAAAAAGGTGGTATAGAGATGGGAATGAGTTCTGTTAATTGATTTCAAATACAATGTACTGATCAGGAGAGGGCTAAGTGTGACCCCAGGGCCACTTTTATGGCCCATGGAGTACCTCAACTTCCTTATCCCCTCTCCCCCGATTTCTTAAAAAAAAATCATCATGGTTCTTGCCACAAATAATGCAGACTATCCCCAAACATGTGAAACGTGCAAAAATACCCCCACCACTCCCTGCAAGCATGCTCTGTAGTTCTCCAAATATGTCTGTTTTCTTCTGCAACAGAAAGAAAGTCACCTTTATTTCCTGTCACTGTTTTGAGAAAGTTGGCTGTGGGAATGCTTCCTTACTTTCAAATATTTGGATGCTTAATGTTTCCAACCATTTTGCTGAATGGGTCGTCAATCTTCCTCTAGATACAAACAGCATGGAAGTATTGCTGCCTTAATATTCTGTTGAAGAACTTTCTGGGGCTAACCATAGTTAGAGTAGCTTGCTGAACAGAATGTTCTTTAGTCTGGCCCATCAGTACGAATATTATGCTAGTAAACAAAACCATGCAAAAAAGAAACTGGATGTAGCTATCAATTAGATTTTGGGTATAGTTGTACAGTATGCAATCTTTCTGAGTTTTAACTTGCTTTCTTACTTTCTGGTAACAGGCAGATATTAATGCTCCAGACCTGAGTACTACCTATAATAATATCCTACAGCTGACAAAGGTAATGATTATTTCTCTCTTAATATTGCTATTAGGCGTGTACATGGATTTGTTATGGACATTTGCCTGTGGCTTGTTGGTTCGAAAGCCCGTAATTGATGGGCGCCACTGCCATTTTTTTTACTGGCCACAACAGAATAGTGGCTGTTGAAAATCAGCTTCTTTTAGTTACATGTGGAGTGTGGGGAGGGAGGCATCCGCTAGTAGGAAAACAAACCCAGGAAGTGAGGTTTCTTAAGCCTGCTCTTAATTTGGAAGCATAAAGAAGATTGAAGTGCGAGGGGCAAAAGGCCCACAAGTTCTCCTTTCCACTCCAGTGCATCCAAATCAAGAGAGAAGAGAGGACTTTTTAAAGGAATTCTAGGGTAGGATACTTCCAGATTGATCCTGATTCCTTCGCTGGAAACCTTCTTAAAATGCCTTGGAAAACTGCCTCCTACAGCTCCTGTCTCCTCTAAAGTAGAACCATCTTTAACAAAGCATTAAACATGGTCTCCTCTACAGACAGAAGGGAAAGGATCATAGAAAGWGTTTATCTTCACTTTGATGCTTTAAATCCAGATCTTAATGAAGGATTTAATAACAAACAATGCCTAAAATGACGGGCGAAGGGGAGCCCCCCCCCCCCCAATTGCCAATGGTAAGCCAGATCGAAAATGAATCTTTTGGCTTCCCGGATTCAAAACAGATTTCTGCTCTCCCCAATTTGGGAGACTCCCAGAAAACGAATTGGRACTCACATTGAAATCCAAGACACCGAAACAGATTGTGGTTTACCCGGATTGCAAAATCCTAATTGCTATGCCCAAGATGGTGTATTTTAAACACATTCTTACTAATTACTTTTTGTTAGGTGAATTTTTCCTCCATAGATATCCATTTACACACAGAAGCGCTTCTGAATACTATGAATTTCATAAGTAATCTAATTCCCAGCCAAGAAGCAGCTCCAGTAGAGATTGTCCAGGAAAAAGAGGAGAAGAAGGAAGTTCTTAAGAAATTGCGTAAGGTCTTCTAATCTCAAACTCTTCCTTACTACCTTTCCACTTGATATTATATCCTAGGCCTTCTCAAGGCTTAATTAGAGCAGAATCCAAAAAAGTTCTGGGTGATTATACAAATTCCTTTTCAGTACTGAAAATTTTGGAAAAACACAAACTTTTCCAAAGTACCAGATGTAAATAATTCTGGGGTTTATGGATGAGATGGGGGAAGGAGAACAATATATGTTAACACTGGAGTATTGTGGGAAAATTACTGGTGATGTATATATTACTGACAGAAAATACTAGCACTTCAGTGAAATCTTGTTTCTTTCTTGTTTCTGTGTGTTACTTAATAGAAATTAAAGAAATCCCCCAAGTCTAAGACTATGTCTTTCCAGAATTAGATTTTCCATCATGCACTCAGATTCTGCAAGAATGAGCCATTTGTTGATACTGTCTTTCTGAATGCAGTGCTTGTGAAAGACATTATAGGTGTCCCTCCCCAGATTTCGGTTTTCACCTTTATGGATTTGATTATTCATGGATTTTATTTTAAATATTCCCTCTGGGAATTTATACGTTTTCCACTGTGATTTTTTTTTCCGGTCAACTTCCTCTAGTCATGCTGAAAGATCTAGGAAATCCTAGAGAGTCAGGTAAAAGATAGCAATTTCTTTCATCATGGTTTTTCACTTTCACTGGGACCTTATGCCCCTAACCCAAGTGAATGTGAAGGGCTTACTGTACTTCTTTCTATTACTTTTAGACATAATATTTTTAAAACTCTGAGAGTACTCTTTTATGAGTGAACTTATAAACAATGAACCAGCAAAACCTTTGAAGAAAATCAATCTGTATTTTTTGCATCTTTCATTGTTTATTTACATATTGCACTGTGATTTTGTAAAAGTTTCTTCCACAGTGGGAAGCTTTCCAGATATTTTGGCTTCCAATTCATATTGGCTCTGGCCAGCATATGCAGCCATATCCAACATAGACAACAAGAGTTGCAGTCCAAAAACATTTGGAGGCCACAGTTCCCAACTCCATTCTACCACAAATTGGACATCAGATAGCTAATGGAAAGTTTTGCTGCTATTTTTATAAAATAATATTACTTCTTTTGTTTTTTTACTTGACATAGCTTCAAAAAATTCAAAATACCAAGATGTTTGTGATCTCTATGTTTATGCTGAACTGTCATGTTTACGGATTTTTATGAGAGAACAAAGACGCAGGATAGCTGAAATTTGTGTTGAAGGTAAGATAAAACAAAATCCTTAAATGAAGTGGGTAACTTTTGGAAGTGGGAGATTTCACTGCCCCCCCCCCCAGAGATGATGCCCCACCCCTGAAAATGATTTTGAAAAACATTTTTACTCCAGGCTTTTGGAAGTACTTTTGCCTTGTTTAGCACCTCTCTGTGAGTTATAGGTCCAGGAAAGGCCTTTTTTAAAAAATAGGAAGTGATTGACAGGTCAATTCTGTTAGGAAATACTCTACTAACCAGAAATGGTCCATAGGGGCTTGGAACCTGGTGAAATTGTCACCAAACTGCCATTGGAATTTGGGATGCACTTAATTCTTTTTATTTCAAATTTTTTTGGAGATAATTTTTTTTTGTTTGGCTTTGGAGGGTCTGCTGGGTATGCATCTCGGGATCATGCCTTTAACATCCCTATCCTAGAGAAAGTGCTTTAAAAATAATATTATATCATATTAAATTTGCTGATTGCAACTGTTATTTTTAGGTCTTGATAGCCAGGTGATGATGAAGAAGGAAACAACTGAAATATCAGCTAAGTTAAAGAATATAGTCATTGTGGATTGTGATGAGGCTGCTCTGTATAAAAAGGTAGGAGTAATCTTTATAGCATTGACATGTGCTAGATGGGAGTTAAGTATAAAGGTCTTGTCTTGAATCCACAGCATATTTAATTTAGTATTCTTTCTCTTGCTGAGGGCTGATCTACACTGACCCAATATCTCAGGGCCAGCTCAGTGTGGGGTACACTAGAGTTGGGCCTGGATCACTGTTGACAAAAACATTTGTAGTTTTTGGATGGCCATTTTGAGTAATTTTCAAAAACAAAAAAGGGGAAGAGAGAGCCTGAAAGACCAGTGAAATGACTTCAGAAAAACTATATTTTTGGAAATAGTTAAGTTCACAAAATACTTGACGGGGGATCTATGGCATCTTTTTCTCTTCCTGGAAGAAACCTCCTCCATTTTTGCTTAGAAAGTTCCCTCCTCCTCCTCTAGAGAGGGCCCTGAGAATTCAGCTTCCCAGAGGCACGTGCATAGAGTGGCCATAGGGAGCATGGTGGGAGTTGAAATTTTTCTCTGTATGTGTCTCTCAGCCAATAAAAAGCCTGGTGGTGTTTATGTTCTGATTGGCTGAAAATGGACACTTCCAGCACCTACAATTTCGAGAACCTTCTCTTGCAATTTGTCGTATTTAAAAAAAATGTTATGTTTAAAACTTAAAACAATTCTTAAAAATCAGTAGATTGGTAAATTGTTTTGAAACATGGCAGGCCTACAGTTGTAAATGGGATCTACAACTGAGGTAGGTTTCATGTAGATAGGTTTTAAAATGGCTGAGGGTTGAGCCTTTAAAATTTTCCATTGTAGCCAATGGGCTGAACCTCTGCCGAATGAAATGGAAAACACCCCTCCCCTTTTGGGTAACTTTCTGATAAACAAAATGAGGGATCAGATGGAAATAGACCCAAAAACAGTAAGCCTTTTGCCTCAAATGGACATGAATCAGCTCAGGATGGGTTAAATAGGCACCCTTCATCTGTTGAAGGGGCAGGAGGTAGCCATGAGTGCACAGTGCCATCAAATGTATTTACTGACCCCTCTCATTCTCTGTGCTGTGGCAGTTTCCAGCTGTGGCATGGGTCCTCTTGGTTGGACATTGCCTGCAGTGATGTCAGAGTAACCCCCTGCTCTCTTCTATGCTCTGCTCCTTTCCTTTCCGTGATAACCCTTTGTTCCAGCTGATGTTGCTGTGATGGCTGATCTAAGGGACCCATGTCACAGCAGGAAATTTACATGATGCAGTACCACCCTGTGTCCCTGGGCTGTCTGAGCCTGGGAGATATGGACGGCAGTGAGCATAGGTGCTTCTGGTTATGTCTCAGAACCGGCCCTTCTATTTACACAGGTCCAAAGTTGGGAGGGCGGTGGCGGCACTCTTGTTTTGCCAGATGCAAAGGTTCTTTTTTCTTGTTTTGCATCCGGAAGCAATAAGTGCTCAAGTGGTTTATAGTTCAAGAAAGAATTGTATTGTAAAAACAGGTATAATAACAGAGTCACAGAAAAGAAATACAAACCAAGCAAGTTTTCTAAATCAGTTGTTGGGAACTTCTAGAACAGCAACAAGGAAGATTTTGGTTTTGGTCAGCATGCAGCACCTTCCTGTTATGTGAAGGTTTTATATCTGGCCAAGCCAGGGTACTATGTGCTGCCCAGTCAAACATGTTTTCCCCAGGGGTTTCAACATGGTGATATCATCCCATTACTCTCAAGATAAACCAAGACCATACTATCCCAATTAGATCTCGGCCTTGAAAGTTTGCATAGAACAGAAATCCGACCCTTAAAGGAGACTTTATTCTTTTATTGAGCACCAGCCATCTCCTGCCATGCGTTGCTGTGGCCCAGTCTGTGTATATGTGTTTTGTGTATGTATGTATGTGTATTTGTGCATATATGTGGTTTTGTGCTTGCATTGTAATGCATTTTTATTATTTTTTGGCTTTTTAAGTCTCTTCTGCTGTGTTTTTCAGTGTTTTTATGAGTGATGGTCACTCGTTGGCCTGATAGGTGTATTGTGTCCAAATTTGGTGTTAATTCGTCCAGTAGTTTTTGAGTTTTGTTAATCCCACAAACGAACATTACATTTTTATTTATATAGATAAAAATGACTAGAGGAACTATACACACCAAACCTACCTCCTCGATATTGCAATGGTTTTCTGTGAGTTCCCCCTATACCAGAGGTGTCAAATTTGTGGCCCTCCAGATGTTTGGGCCTCCAACTCCCAGAAACCCTTGCCAGCTTATCTAATGGCCAGGAATTCTGGGAGCTGAAATCCAAAACACTTGGAGAACCACATGTTTGTCACCACTGCCCTACATATTCCAAATTCTTGGGCAGAATTCAGAGTATCTTCTGATTTTGGTTCAGGTGAGTCAAGGCTGTTAAGGTGGTCTTGTCCCGTGTTATCCCTGTAGAGTTTTTCCATGACATAGGCTTTCTGCATTAAGTGGTTAGTGTAGATGTGTCCTGAGTGAAGTTTCCAAATGTAGGCTTTTGGAGTCAAGTGCTTGCAAGTAGCACATAATCAGGACTGCTGCAGCTATGGGGAAAAAATACTGGTTAGGCTAGCTGTGTGACTCTGTGAGTTCTATTGCAAAAAAGAGGAGAGAATAGCCAGATTCTGAAAAAGCATAGGATGGCATGAAGGAAGAGAACACCTTATGTCTCATATTCCCTTTCTCCTTGAAACTTTGCTCTAGAGCATTGTTTTTTAACTCTGCTCCTCCAGGTGCTTTGAATTTGATTTTCCTGCTTCTAGGCAGGAGGTTGGAATAGATGGCCCATGAGGCCTCTTCCAGCTCTATGATTCTATGACTTCAGCTCCCAGTAATTCCAGCTGTTAGAAATTGTGGGAGCTAAAATCTGGAAGAGCACCGTTTGAGAAGCTCTGCTCTAAAGAGTAGATGGGTGAAGGCATGGTTAAAAGGGAATTAGTGAAAATAATTTCCCTGTGACTTCTACTCATGGAAGGCTCCACTAGAATCATGCAATTTATGCACACTCTGACTAGGTAGTCACTCTAAACCAATGGTTCTCAGCCTGTGAGTCCTCGGGTGTTTTGGCTGCAACTCCCAGAAATTCCAGCCAGTTTACCAGCTGTTAGGACTTCTGGGAGTTAAAGACCGACACGTCTGGGGACCTACAGGTTGAGAACCAGTGCTCTAAACAGAAGAGTACCTTTGAATCAACCCATAATATTTGTCGTTGCATAAATTGGACTGTATATGGACAACGACTATGTCTCTGTGTGATATGTGATGTTATTTATGTAATGTGTTTAATAATGTTTAATGTTTTATTTGGGGAGGGTCAATTTTAATGTTTTATACTGTTTTTATCGAGGGCATTGAATTGTTGTCAACATTGTGAACCGCCCTGAGTCCCCTTCGGGGCTGAGAACCCTTCGGGGTTATTTGAAATACAAATATTTCAAATAAATAAATTAGTCTTAATCATTATACCATTTTGTCTCCAATTCAAGGCTCTCTATATTACTGGGCAAGAAGTCTTCAGCTTCAAGATGGTGACATACATGTTTGCCACAGAAGGTGCTTCTTATGCAAATGTGAATGCTGTTGACAGCCGAATTTATTTAATTTTTGGATGCATTGAAATTGTTTTTGTTAACAAATTTGTTTCTGCTGTTTTGGTAAGTTTCCATTTGTTTTAGAAAACAACAAATAATTGACAGAGATAAGCAACACGTGGTGCATAAGTTGGCAGTGTGGTGCCAAAATTCACTGCCACAGTTACAGTAGTAAAATACCCCACATTTTCATTCTAAAACAACATGGATCAAAAGAGTGCAGCTTGTTTAAAGGGGAAAAATGTCCTTCCAGGAACATGTTGCATTTTTTAAAATAAAGCTCAGATTTCCAGTGCATTGTCTTTTGAACCAAATTTGTGTTTGTTTTTTTTCACCACACCATTACATTTCAGCAACTAGGAACAATCCTTCTGAAAATCTCTGATGTAAAACCATTTCTTGCTTATTCTATACTAAAAGATCTGGGAAACCTTTTAACTAGAAATACCATCTTTCACTAGAGCTATGATATTGTTGTTGTTTTTGTTTATTTTTCTGTCACCACCCTACCCTTTCTTCCACATACATTGCTGGTCATTAACCCTTCTTTTCCCTTGTGTTCTTCTACCCTCCACCAGCTATCCTGCTTTTTATTTCCCTTCAGCTTCTCTGTCCCTCAACACTTCCCTCTGTCAGGGTAACCCAGTTATGCTAACACATACTATTGAAATGAAATATAAACAGTAGAATCTTGTCAAAGTTGACTGTAAAATCATATGAGTAAGATTTCAAAATTATGCTTGAAGTCCTGTTGTGTTGGATTGACGTCAGATATTATACCATGACACTTTTCTAGAATTCCTTTTTTCTAGAATGCTCTTTTTTCTAGAATTCCCATATGTTGTAGAATTAAAAATGCACCTTGATCAGAGGAGTGTTTGTGTGTGCAGAATCATATGCGTTACTAGTTGAGTATCCCTTATCTGAAATGCTCAAGACCAGAAGTGTTTTGGATTTCAGTTTTTTGTTATATTTGCATACACAGGTATATTTGTATATACAAGTTGAGCATCCCTTATCTAGAATCACTTATCCAAAATTCTGAAATATTCTAAAATCTACAATTGTTCACATGAATGTCTGAGATAGTAACAGCTTTATCTTTCTGAAGGTTGAATGTATACGAAGTTTGCTTTATGCATAAAATCATTCAAATATTATACATAAAATTATCGCCTGGAGATATATACAGACAGATAGACATACACACATACATACTATAGCATAAATGAATTCCCTGTTTAGACCTGTGTTCCATTTCCAAGGTATATCATAATGTCATGATAAGTATATATGTAAATGCAGGTATCCAAAATCCAAACCAATCCAAAATGCAAAACTCCTCCCAAGCATTTCAGATAAGAGATATTCAACCTATATTTGCACATGAGACAATTTCATACAATATGTGAAAAAAATATTTGTGCATTCATATTGAACCATCAGAAAGCAAATATGTCATTATTTCATCCACCTTGTGAGTATTTCAGATTTTGGAATTTTGGATAAGGAATGCTCCCATCCTTTGTTTAGTTAATGCATGCATGCATGTGTCATTATGCAGTATAATTAATCATAGATACAGTTTTTACTTTCTATTTTTACTCTAATTGCTTACATGTTGCAGCCTTATTCTTTCATATCGGCATACTTTTTCTAGCTTACAAAACATTTATTACTCATATACAGATGTGTGAAACAGACGAAAAGTGTTTACTATATGAATCATTAATACTGATGCAGCATTAAAAAAAATTCTAAGATACTCATCTTCTGTTGCTGAACTATTTTTTATAACTTTTTTAGGCTTTCGTAAACAATTTTCAAACAGCAAAGGAGGCAATTACTGAGGCCACTGTTCAAGCTGCTGAGAAAGCAGCTACTGGTGTAATGGAATTGGCTGAACAGAGTTCCCGAATGGCACTGGATATTAAAATCAAAGCACCTGTTCTCATAATCCCACAATCCTCAGTATCTCCTGATGTTCTGGTGGCGGATTTTGGTTTGATCACCATAAAGAATGACTTTTTGTTTGTTAAAACAAAACTTCGATGTAGTGTCCCACCAATTCTTGACAATATACATGTGAAATTGAGTGAACTAAAAGTGTACAGGTAATATTAAGATAATTGTGTAGGTTTTTTTCTAAACTGAATTGTCAAGTAAATACAATTGTGAAAGGGTTTTATGAAAGCTATAGCATGTTTATCATGTTCTCTATAGACACAAAGTCAAAGCTATATTTTTCTATCTAGTGGTCAGGGTGTAAGGTTCCTTGTTAATTCCTTTGTCATAGAAAAAAAAATATTTTCTGTCATTTACACTAACCACACTTTTCCTCTGTAGGAATGTGAGGCTTAGTAGGGAAATGAAATCTGCCAGCCTTTTTGAAGTTTGCAGCTGATATTACTGAGATTCCGTTGACCTTAATCAATGTGTGAGATGTAGATTTACTTGGATGGTGAATCACTGCATTCTTTGTATTCTGAAGAGCTGAAGCTGAGAGCGAGGCAGATAGAACATAGGAAATATCATTTCACAATGACTTTTGAGTGGATATTATTAAGAGTCTGTTGTGAATAAATAGATATTAAGTGCAAATTATATCCAATAAACTTTTGGTATTATTATATTCCTGTATGTTAAAATACAAAGTTACTGTATTTTCTGTTTAGTGAAGTATTTCTATTAAAGCACCAGTTGTCAGGATAGCTGTGGATGCATTATAACCCTATGTTCAGCAAGTGAGATGTAATTGGATTGTGAACATTTTCCAATTTTATTTAACAGATCAAGTGTTGTGAATGACTTATTACAAAATGAAATACAACTACTACAGCCGTTAAATCTTGAAGTTACTATAGAACGCAATTTAGCTGCCCTTTGGTATCATGAAATTCCTGACATTAAAATATCTGGACGTCTCAAGCCAATGAATGTAAGTTTTTATATAGGGTGTTTCAGAAATTCAGACATTTTTGTTTCATTAAATCGAAGACTTTTAGTTCTTATGGTTGAAAGACTGCATTTACTTATGCTATTACTGTTCACACATGCCGACATTGCAACAAGTGTGGGCTCATTTACAATATTAATAACGAGTACCACTGCATTCATAGTAACATCTTCATGGGGAGAAGTATGTGAGGCAGCAGGACAGAAAGACCCATCAACATTTATCAAAAATTATGTAGTGGACAAATAAAATCAGGACTGACAGCCTTTGGATACATACATCTACTGCCCTTCAATATGTTCTGGGCCTTTTAAATGGTTTGTTCAGTAGCAATTCGCCTCCACTCATGACTGTGATTTAAAAAGCTACCAATTTTCTGTCCACTTTATATCTTTATCTGAATCATTTTCAAAACTGACAGCTGTGATCAGCTGACATGAGGCAATATTACAATCGCTATGGATTGCTTCTTCAACTTTGCTAGAATGGTTATTCATGGTGGGTGTCACCACTCATTCTTCTATGTAGCAGGTAATTAAAAGACTACATCTGCTTGTCAGTTCCAAGTAAAACACTCAGTAGAACTTATCCTAAAATTTGACTTACCAAATGCTTTTTGATTCAGGGGTAGTGCAAAGGGAGGGTGGGTATATGTTGACTCTGGTTGGTACTTAACCATTGAATTTAAGCTAATGTGTCCCATGGCATCTGAAAGATTTGTGCATCTACTATATGCTTTGGTGTCCCAGAGTGTTTCATGAAATACAGTTAAGTACTTTCCTTGAGCTGTAGGCAGGTGTGCCCCAATATTTTTGTGCACATAATTTTAGAGAAAAGAAATGTAGAAATGTGGAAAGATGACATTCTTTTATGCATTACTTAGTAAAATAACATTGGGAATATATTTTATAAACAGATGTTTTGCTTTTCAGTGGACTATATGTTATCTCAAATTCAATTGTGTTTATTGTTACGCACTAAGTGTAATACAAATTCTTACTCCTTTTTTCCCTGAAAGCTGATCCTCAGTCAGAGTGACATTACTACTATATTGAGGACCTTGAATGAAAATTTGGGAGATACTGGTTCTTTACCACCTGAACCAGAGAAAAAGGATAGTGGAACTGCAAGTACTTCTCAGCAGTCTGGTGGTATGTGTTTTCTCCTTTGGAGGCTTTTCAACTGAGTCTGGATGGCCATCTGTTGGGAGTGCTTTGAATGTGATTTTTCTGCTTCTTGGCATGAGGTTGGACTGGATGACCCACGAGGTCTCCTCCAACTCTATGATTCTATGATTCTAAACCTTAAATAAAATTATATTTTAGAGTAGGCACAGTAGGAAAAGGAATAATGATAAATATTTTATAAAATACTGTTGTACAGTTATGTAGTTGCACGTGTTTCTTCTTTATCATCTCTGAACTCAAATATGAGTCTGGTTCCTCTGCATAGCCACATCCAGATATTCTATAGCTGAGTATCTTTAGTAGGAACAGCCCCACCCCTCCTGTTCTCCAGTTCATATACTACAACCACTACCCAGTTCCTTTTTATCTGCCGTGAGAGCAAAAAGGTCTAGAAAGTTATTTGTGCTTTCAGTCTCTAGTTCTTGCCAGGTAGCATTTCCTCTTATCTGTTTTTAATAGTTTCTTTTTACATTTTCTTCTTTGTCCTCCCACTTTATTAAAAACTTAAATCCCTTTCCCTTATATTCTTCAAATTTCAGATCTATTTCACATAGAAACATAGAGTTGGAAGAGACCACAATACACCTCCCTCCCCCAGTGTGCAAGAATACTTAGCAGTATTAGATCTCAGAGGTTCTTTACAAAAATATACTTCATTTTAGTTAATTTACTACTTAAGGAATTGAAAACTGTTCATTTCACCTAATCTCCATGTGCATTTCTGGGAAACTTTATTAAAAGTTGCGACCAAGCTGTTCTAAATTGATCATCCAGCATCTTCTATTATCTCTAAGATTTCTTCATTGTCTGAGGTTCTGTTGACAGATGGTCAGTATGGCACATTCTGGAATGCACAGCATTCATAGTGTCTATGAATACATAATGTCTGTGAATATAGAAAGATTATTGAAACATCTTTTGAAATAATCACCCAAGAGGAATTTGCATGTATGGATAGTTCTTCAAATTACGTGTTATGTATTGGATCGTATCCGGGGAAGAAATTGGAGATGTAGTTGAAATCTATACCAGGGCTCGTCCTGCTCGACTCCTGCTCCTGTTCACATCAACTCCTCACTAATGTTCTTATCAGTTTCTTACTAGCTTTCAGTTATTAGCTTTCAATAATCTTCATAGTGGATAGGCCTTTAGGGAGGGCTCTTCTTATTCCACTATTTCTATGTTGTTGTTTTTGAATCAGGACATTAGCACAAAATAAACAGCTATGGACAATAAAACATACCATATTTCACTGCATAATAGTTGCACTTTTGTCCCTTGTTTTCCTCTTCAAAAAAGGGGGATGTGCAGCTATTATGCACATGCAGGTGAACAAGGCCTAGAGGACCTCCTTTGGCTGCCAATTGCATAGACCTCCCTCACCCGCACATGCTGGTAAGTGGGGCCTAAGGGGTTTCCTTTGCCCCCACGCGCTGGAAGACTAGCAGCCAAAGGAAGCCCTATAGGCCTTGCTCGCTCATCAGCGGGAGAGAGAGATAAGACCTCTCTCGGCTAGGGAAGGCCCCATAGCTCTCTCCCACAGGTGTGAGCCTTCTCCCCCATGTGCACCTGTCGGGGAGAGCTGGGAGGCTTCTCTTGGCTTGCCACGGCTGCAGCTAACTAATTAGCTGGTTGCAGCTGTGGGAGGCCCCATAGCTCTCTATAGCAGGCATTTGCAGCAGTGAACCTTCACCCACACAGGACCATGCAGAGGAGAGCTGGGAGGCTTCTCTGGCTTCCCTTGCTGCCACCAGATGATCAGCCTTAAACAGCTGGTGGTAGTCCACTTTATATCTTCATCTGAATCATTTTCAAAACTGATAGCTGTGATCAGCTTACATGAGGCAATATTACAATTGTTATGGATCGCTCCTTCAACTGTGCTAGAATGGTTATTCATGGTGGGTGTCACCTCTCATTCTTCTGTGTAGCAGGTAATTAAAAGACTACATCTGCTTGTCAGTTCCAAGTAAAACACTCAGTAGAATAAAAATTGCATAATCCAATTTAAATCAGTATTGGACTTATAGTCCTTTGTTAAAGTCTGCTGTTCTAAAAGCCTCAGAATAATAATGGAAGGACAACAATGGGGTTATTTTAAGAGAGTGAGTTCCCAAGCATAAAGTCAACAATTAAGAAAGTACTCTCTTATTTCCCACCATCTTTTTAGGGGAATGAGAAGTGAAACTAGAAACTGTAGTTTTATATTCATTATTAAAGTATTGCTTTTAGAGTCTAATATTTTTTATTTCATTTTTTAAAGGTGGAACAACAGTGCTGACATCTGCTGTAGTGGAAATGCATTCCTCTGTTAAAGTTAAAACCACTCTAAAATTGGATTTCCAGGTTGATTCCCTGACTCTAGTTTTGTACAGTCCAAATTCCAACCAGGTAAGAAAAAGGAATACTTTTCTAAGTGAATATAATTTGATTAGCTGTTATTCCTGAATCTTACATTGTGAATAGCCAGATAGGAAAGGAGACCATAAGTTCAAATCATGTCCAGGCCTGGGAAAAAAAAAAAAACCTTTTCCATTACTATGTTTCTATGAACAGGGAATAGATTGTGTTGTCGAAGGCTTTTATGGCCGGAATCTTTAGGTTGCTGTGAGTTTTGTGGGCTGTATGGCCATGTTCCAGAAACATCAGGAGAGAATGTTTCTGGAACATAGCCATACTGCCCGGAAAACTCACAGCAACCCAGAGAATAGATTGTGGGCCTAGAATAATTATATTTTTATTTCAATATTAGTAAGATGGTCTGATCAACTTAATAGTTAAATGTTAGGGGTAAATAATGATAATAATATATTTATTTATATTCCGCCCCATCTCCCAAGAAGGACTCAGGGCACCTTACAATGTAGAAGGTCTGCATTTTCATGGTATTCTTATGAGAAAATACACATTGGTTTCCCTAGTCTCTGGATGATTGACAGAGCGATCTAAAACATATAGTCCCCATGTTCCAAAAGTCTAAAATAAGTAACATTCTCTCTCTGCTCCAATTCAGTTTTTAATTTCCTGCCTTGCCTATATGTTTTCTGCTTTCTTTCCTCCTTTCGTTCTCATTTTGGCTGAAGGAGAAATCCACAACTTGTAGGTTAATCCCTCATGCCAGCCTGATAGAAGCAGGAGTCCTCAAAATTCTAATCTGTTAAAATCACAGACTCCTCTCAGTTTTCTTTCTTCTCCCTAAAGGTCAGACTTTTAATTTATTTCTCCTTCACTCTTATTACTTCATTCAACTTCTTTTCAGAGCTGTATTGAGCAATCTAAAATCTTTTACATTATAAGCTATGACTTAGTAAATAAGTTAGTGAAAGAGAAGTCTAAACAGGATGATCCTAAAGAACAAAATAATATGGTAGAAGATGGAAAGGTTTCTAAATATTAATATATTGAAAATGAGGACTATCAGTCTGCCTTTTAATCTTTTGCTCCAATAATTCAAAATCAACATGTACAGACTTGCACAAATAATTTATCAGCGAAGTCATATTTGTCAAACCAAAGGGAGGGGTTCTTGGTTGCAGCAACTAATAAGGGAAACCAACAAGATATTGATAAAGATCAAGAGATGTCTGTGGTCCTTGAGCCTTAAAACAGGTATAGAATATTGGAGCTTAAACCAGCATGTATTTGTTGCTTTGCAAACAAGGTTTGAAAGCTTTGTGCTAGACATATTCACCTTTTTCCTGTACATGGAAGTTTATGTGCTGGTAATCATGATGCTTTATCAATACCATATCTGAAAAGCCCCTTGCATGCAAAGGACCCTAGCTAAATCAAGCAGGAAAAATCATAAGCAGTTTCAATAATCCCTAATTGGCCTTGTAATCCATACTTTCCAGTACTGATGAATTTGGCATCTCCCAAATGGGGGATTTATTGCATCAAATTTCAATAATTTGAGTCCCCATGGGAAGAAAGGCGGAGTATAAATAAAGATAATAACAATTTGAATTGGTTGCAGTCAGCCATCTGGAGATTGAACAGAGGAATTCATTAAATCAAAGTTATTCTGACACATTTGCAACTACTGCTTTAGCTTCTAGAAGATAATCCAGATAGTAGATTGATGAGAATACTTGAAAAGCATCCAGAAAGTTGCATAGTATGCTTTCCCTAACTCTTTGTTCTCTAAATGGGCAATATGTTTGTGAGCTATATGTGTTTCTTGTATAGCAATTACTTGACATTTCCTTTTTTTGATATTGTTAAAAACTTTATTTCTTTTATTGGCAATATTAAACCGTTAATATTGTTACAGTAGATTTTTAAATTGGTATTCATCTAGTAGTTTTCTCCTTGTCCTTGTTGTTCCTCTTTTTTTCCTTCTTCTTCTTGTTTTTCCTCTCCCTCTCCTTCCTCCTTGTTTCCAATTTCTTCTTCTATCATAGGTTCCATTGTCTGATTTGGTACTTTCAAGCTTAGTCTGTAGTTCCTGGGATCTAGATCTTCCTTCTTCGGCGATGTTGTGTGTTGTCTTTTTGGCTGTTTTCCTTTGTGTTCTATGTCATCCTCTTTTCCATCTTCTTCTTCCTTGGTTATTCCTGTATAAAATTGTCTGGCCTTTTCCACCGTCTTAATCCAATATCTCTGTCCTTTGTACGTTGTCATCAGACCTTCTTCTTTCTCCCATCAGAATCTGATATTCTGTTTTTTTAATTCCTCCGTGAGAAAGGCATATTTTCTTCTGTTACTAATCACTGGTCCCGGGAATTCTTTCAGGATCACCACTCTTCTATCCTTATAACAGATTACTCTTTTATCACTTGCTCTCAGTATTTCATCTCTTGTTACTTTTCTGGTGAGTTGTACTACCACATCACGATCGGTTTTATTCTTTCTTGCAAAATTCGTATTGACTCTGAAAACCCTGTCCATCTGCTCCTCCATATATTGAGTTGTACATTGTATCAGTTCCACTAGTATCTCTGTGATTTTTCCCCTTATATCCTCTTCTTTCTCCTCTCTTACATTTCTTAGTCTAAGCTGGTACTCCATTTCCCTCATCTCTAAGTTCTCTTGTCGAGTCATTAACTTTTGGTTTAGTACTTCCAGTGTTTTCATTCTTGTGTGTGTCACGTTTTGTTTTTCTTCTCTTTCTGTATTCTTTATCTGCAACTGTTTAATCTCTTCTTTCATTATCTCTGCATCTCTCTTCATCGTTCCCAGTTCTTCCTTAATTTCTTTCTTCAATTCTGCCATCTGTTCTTGCGCTATTTGCTGGTATGTGTCTTGTTTCTCATTCATTTCTGCCAATTCCTTTCCGATGGCTTTTATTTCTTTCAGCAGTTCCTTCATTCTCCCATCTTCTCCTAGAGATAGTCTCCTTCCTATATTGTTTATATTACTCATGCTGGTTATGATGGTGGCTTCTTTAGTTTCTTTGATTTCTTTGTCCTTGTCTCTGTTTCCTTGCCTTCCTTGGCATCTTTTCCATTCTTAGGGGTTTGAGTTATCGTTTCCTTCCCATTCTTCATTTTTATTGCCGCTGCCATTTGTTTCTATCTGCAAATAAGTTGTTTATATTTGTAGTTCTGTTTTTAATTGTTTTTAATTGTTTTTATTGTAATATTATCTATGTTTTTGCCTATGTCCTAAACCCACTCAGGGTTGCTCTTTAACTGTTCTAGCGGTCTTGGGGGAGGGATCTGTGACTCGCGCACTCCAAGTTGGGGGTTATCTGTATCACTCCTTTGGGCCAAGGGTACAAGCCTCTCCTATATCTCCTCCTCCTCTTCTTTCTCTCTCTCTTATTTGCCCTTTTTATTTACCTTTCCTCCTGTTTCTTCCCCCTTCGTTTCTTTCAGTCCTCTCCTTTGTTCTTCTTTCCGTTCCTTCTCTCCCTTCAATTCCTTCAGTCCTTCAGGTCGTCAGCCCCTTTTAACTCTAGTGAGTCTTGTCATTTCAGTCTATCGCTATTTCGTCTTCTTCTCCCCTCCGTCCTTCCGCCCTTACTTATATCTTCCATTTTCTCTCTTCCGCCCTCACTTGTGTTGCTCTTTTTCCTTCCCTCTCTTTTTGGGGTTCCGTTTCCTGTTTGGCCCTCTTTCCTCTCTTCACATTTTCTCACGTTACCTCTCGCGATCTCTCCTCCCCTCTAGTTCCTGCTCCGCACTCACTTTGCACTCTCGCAAGACTTCTTTCCTTCGTTATTTATTTTCTGTTTGTCGTCGTAGACAAAACACCTGCTTCAAGGTCAGTCCCTCCTCTTTCTCTGTCCATCTGACATGTAGTCATGATTTAACAATAGATATTTTGTTTTTACCGTAAGTAACTTCAGTTCAAGATTCTTGGGCTTCAACTTACAACTTTCTAATCAAGTTAGAAAACTGATCATAATGGTAGAACTTGTATATAGCCGAAATATTTTCCTTATTTTATTAATTCAAATTAATTGAAACTGTACAATTTCTTTTCAATACAGCTTCCTGTTCAGGATGAAAGAGATGATAGTTTGAAACTTGCAGAATGTAAATTGTTGCTAATATCAGCTGCAGTCAAAATGTTATCAGATGATTCAATGGGTGCCTCAGTCAGGTTAAACAACTGCACTTTAGATGATAAACGACAGGCCGTCCAAAAAGCTACACCCAGGTAGTTATTTCATTGTTAAATTATAAATTAGTTTGGTTGTAAATACAAGGTAGAATCCTTAGTTGCTGATTTTCAATCATCTGTAAATGATCATACTGCAAATCCAAAGGCAGATTGGACAAGTTGATGTTACCACTGAAAACTTCAGAGGAAATCATAACTATGTATTTATGCTCTGTTGTATCTAACAGGTTTTGATTGAAAAACAGTTTGATATTACTAATCTATGCACATGCAAGTTTAAATGAAAGAATACAGATCTACACTATTTTTTTAAAAAATACTGTGGAGATTTCCAGCAAGTTGATGGAGCTGATTGCAGATACTTGTGTCAACACACAGCTCATTACATTCAGTTACATAAAATATTTTTATTAGCTGTAGTATAAGTATATATGTATGTATACACACACACACACACACACATACACACATGTATTCAAAGTATACTCAGTTTCACTTAGAAGTATGCTACTTTTAAATTTATGGAAATCTTGAATTTTAAACTTTTGGAATCACATATGGCACTTAACAATCATTTATAGTGTGCTTCTGTGTAGTGTTTCCATCCTCGTCCTTCCCAGTTTCCTTTATTTGCCTTTCTTCATCCCTGTTCACTTTATCTTCCAGAGACTATGCAATTGTAGAGTGAGGCAATATAAATGTAACCAGTTTATTACATTTAATTCATTTAATATATTTAAATGAATTAATAAATTCATTTCTGATAAATATTATTCTTTGGATAATCCTGTCTTCTCTATTGCTAATACAGCAATTGCATTATTCTCTATCTTGCCCAATGTTTGTTTCTTAAAGCCATTTTTAATATATTTGGTTCTTTATCATACATATACGTAGAAGTTATTTTATGTTTCCCATTCGACCTAACACTGGAGTCATAGTGGCAAAAACTGAACTAGGCCCAAGATATCATGCTCCATCTCAAAGATTCCTAATGAAATGGGGGAATGGGAGCATTAACATTGTTCCCCATACACCAGTGGATCTAGTCCAATGCCAAAATATCACATCGAAGTTATGACAGGAGTTAAAAGCTGTAAAAACCCAGATCATTATTGTAATCAGTATGAATACATGGAATTATCTACACTGGCTGCTTAATTTGTGGCCAGTTTGGAGTAGTAATGCTCCTGACTGGTCCATAAGTGACCACACACTCTGTTTCCAAGCTGTGATGGAGAAACCAGTCTGAAAACAGTTCAGCTATGTCCTTGTCATCATAATGCTGCGGACAGCCACAAATCTCCAGGAGAGCTCCCAGCCACCAAAGGTGCCCTGCTTGGCCAGATTTGTTTTGATAGTACATAAAACAATCTAGTTTGTAGTTAGAACATTATGATATACACATATCTCAGAAAAAGACTCACAAAATAATCTCTCTACATAGAGTCATGGGGATGAATGTATAAAAACAAGTGTTTTAAATTGGTTATAAAATACAACATAGAGCTCTGGCAGTCTTATTTGATGGCATTCCAAAGTTGTATCTTTCATCTGTAAATGTTGAATGTTGTTGTTTTAACCCTTGTGCAGTCACACAAATACAGTTTCATATCAGTGAAAACTGATGCAAGCCTGGCTAGATGAGAGAGGGAGAAGCTCATTGTCACAGTTTGACTGCTCAACTAGTTTGAAGCAGAATATCTCTTCAGATCATGGCCAAAGTGTTTGACGTTTTGTTCAAGGAGAAATATAAATATGGGAGATTTGAAAACTATTACAGAAAATTTAATTTAAAAAAATGTTATTTTGACACATTTATGGAATATTGGTTTAATTTATAGCAGACGTGGTTTTGAGAAACTTGGTCTTTCTCTGATTTGATAACTAAAAATAAGCAAGCTAGTACATAAAAGTACTATTAGATTATGTGATACTTTGAATTCTGTTATTTATTCTGCCAACTTGTCTTTCAGAATGGTAGAAATGAAACATGGATCTAACAAAAAGGTTATGGTGGAAATAAGTTACAAGCAAGCAAGAGATGGCACCACCGTTCTTGACACAGTTGTTCAGGATACGTATCTTTGTGCTAGCATAGAGTTTCTACTTACTATAGCAGATGTTTTTCTGAAAGCTACTGCTGAAAGTGCTGCTGCCCAGCAAAGCTTTTTTCAGGCTTCGGGTGTAAAGGAACAAGGTCAGTTATTGGTTTCCGTATGTGGTCATGGGGACCTGATCTGTCTTATACATCACCTTCTATTCTATTTGTTCCCTTTTAGCTATGATGTCATCATTTAAATTATTTAATTGATTTCATACTAGATTATGTTTAATGTAGAGTGAATGTCAGTCTTGTGTGCTACTCACAACTCCTTATTTTAATATGTACATTTTTGTTTTAATTACATAAGTCTGGAGTATGTTAATTGCATGTGCCTGGGTTATATTTCTTGGAGGAAGTACAATTATCTATTTAAAGCTACCCTTAGGCTTGTGTGATTAAAAACAATATGAAACATGGGATATTAATTTTAATAAAAAGGATGATCTGAGGGATAGGTTGTTTTGCTTTCCCTTTGACAAGGAATTAATGCTATAATATCGTTGAAATTGTCATATGTAAAATGAAAGTCTATGGGCTGTTAAACAACTTGAGTCTAATAGTTTCTTTTGCCATTACATTCTTTGAACTAGCATTTTTTTCCAATACATTGCTGTTGCATCAATTAAAAACAGTAAAAATAAGACATATTAATTTTGTATATTATTTCATAATGCTTCATAGAACCCTGGGTTTCTAGAAGGTAACAATTTTAAACTAATTTCATTGATCCCTCATCTCAAGGAAAAGTAAATGATTTCTGGCTACTTCTGGAAAAACATTAAACTCTCTTGGGTAATTGGATATTCTTAAAATTTTGAAAACACCGTTCTGTTCCTCTGTTTGAAACCAAACAAAGAAAAAAAACCCCTTAGCGCATCTGAATCTATGTATATTGTCCATAAGTGCAGTATATCCATTTTTCTCTATACTAGTGATAATTGAGTTTTGAAAAATTCTTAGGATGAAGCAATTTGATTGGTTTTGGGGCCAATTTACACCTTTTAAAATAATGATAAAAATTGAATCTCCTGAGGTGAAATCTCCTGAGGTGAAAATTACATAAGTCAAACTTTCATTCTCCATGTGTTTTGGACTTCAGCTCCCAGATGTCGCAGCCAACTTTACTTACAGGCATTCTGAGAGTTGAAGTCCAAAACACTCAAAGAACCAAAGTTTGGGAAGTACTGACAAAAACAAAGCATCCCCATATCTATACTGATCTACCTTTAAAAACCCAAGATCCATATCGCAGTGATACCTTTACTTTGCTGGTATAACCATCTCTGCATCCTTTTGAAGTATCAGATTATTGAAAAAGATGTTGCAAAATCAGTTAGTGAATGGGGTGATAATTTTATCTTTATATTGAGATCATATGTAAATTCATTTCTGCAGGTCTCTGTTTTTTGTGGAGACAGTGTTTTCCCCATGGAAGATCTGAAGGCATAAAAAGGGAACATATTATATGTAGGAGTAGATATTAGAAGGAGAACTACCTGTATCTCAAACAACAAGCCAGGATTTACTTTTTTCTTAAAGCCTTTTGCCTGTCTTTTTTTTTTTTTTGCTTGTTCATAACATTTTCTTTCTATGACACCACTGAAATATATGTATTTTACTTGGATCAAAATCTCGAGAGAAAGATACATCTTTTAAAAATAACATGGGATTGTTCTTAAAATATGTAGTGAAAATAAAAATTACACTTTCAGTTCCTGTGCAGGCAGAATCCACTATGGGAATAAATGTTGTAGTTAAAAATTCCGAGATTGTATTTGTGGCGGATTTGACAAGAAGTGATGCTCCTGCATTGGTGACTACAGCACAGTGTGAGATCTCCATGAAGTATGGTCCCAACCTGTATAAAATGACAGCTGCTGTTAAAGATATAAATGCGAAGGCCTGCCCATTTCTTCCAGATATGAGAAAAGGCAATATTACTACGGTAAACATTTAAAATACTAATCTAAAACTGTAATCATGCAGAGTGCTATGCAAATAAAAATGAAATTGGTGGGATTTGTAAAAAGGGGCAACTTAAATGAAGAGCATAAGAAGCCCTAAACATGATCACATGTAGCAACTGTGCAATCTATCTTGCACTTGAGATGTATCTTGGATAAAATGCCACTTGGTTCTAATCATTATGGACCACTGATCAGATTATATTTATCTAGATGTTAATCTGAATCACTGAGTTTTAAATTTGTTGCAGCATGCAAAGCTTTTGATCCAACATCATGCATGGAAATTGGATGGCTATCCAGTTGGGATTTTTTTAAAGTGTGGTGGCATGCATTGATCTTTCTTTCTTCCAGGCACATGTTCCCAAGCAAATCAAGCAGTCTTAATTGTATGGGTCACAGTTGTATTAATTAGGATGCCTTTTATTTGTTTTCTAGGAAAACTACCTTTTTAAAACAAAAGTTGTAAATTCATGGCTTTTCACATTGTTCTTAAAGGCTTTTTAACAGGCTGATTCATATGTGTATACAGTTGATTTTTTTTATTTCTATCCAGATATTGCAGCCCTGTGACTTTTTCTTTGAAATGATACAAATAGGAGAACAACCCCAGAAAGCCGATCTCTCTGTTAAATCCATAACAATTAAGGTATGTGAAAGGTTTACATCTGTATTAGCTTTAAGAATAAAAGTAGGAATGTATTATTTAAGCACGTCTATATTTT